GTATGTTGCGCAGGCACTTCTTTATGCTTTATATTACAACTGACCGCTCTCGATGCATCCAGTCAACCGGTCCTTGCCGATGAGGTACAGACGTTCAAAGCCCTGATAACGATACATAAGGTTCTACAAGAGGGACATCCCATCGTAGTTCGGGAGGCGCAGCAGCACGCCAATTGGATAGACAGTCTGATGCGCGGTGTAGGAGGCGATGGCATTCGCGGTACGCAAAAAGCTTGCAGGCTGTACGGCGCACTCGAATCGGTTGATGTTGACAGGCGGCATAGGCTATGGCCCTCTTATCCGAGAATATGTTTTCTTCCTCGAGTCCAAGTTGGCATTTCACCGAAATCATCCCGAATTTAACGGTAATTGGCGGAGCGAAGTTTGAATCACCCGGTTCATGACTAAGTATTTGGCAGGTCTGTTTGAATATGAGGAGTACATCAGTCTGAAGACGATCAATGATCCGAATGAAGGGTAAGCACGCCTAATGGCTATCACTTCTTCTCTCGCTGACAATATTTTAGTTATGAGACTATCTCGGACCTCATGACTTTGCAAGACCAGATAGATGCGTTCCAGAAATTGATCTTCTCGCATTTCCAGTCAGGGACAAATAACGAGTGTCGGATTTCTGCACTAGTGCCGTTGGTGCAGGAGAGCTACGGCATTTATAAATTTATTACCAGCATGCTGAGAGCCATGCATACAAGTAGGCGTTACCTTCTCTCTTGCTGCCTGGGTAAACTGACCTTGTCATAGCCACGGGTGACGCCGAGGCCCTGGAACCCCTCCGTGGTCGTTATGACGCTCAACACTATCGACTTGTTCGGTTCTATTACGAGTGCTCGAACTTGCGCTATCTGACTAGCCTTATCACTATTCCTAAGCTGCCTCAAAATCCACCCAACCTGCTTGCCGACGATGATGAACGCCCCGCTCTACCCAGACGACCGACGAAAGAAGTCGAGCAGGAGCCCACTCCGCCGCCAAAGGCGGCACCCGCTGATCCAGAGCCCATTAACGACTTTTGGACTACAGAAGCCAAGCGCCAGCAAGAGGAATTTGAAGCGGAACAGCGACGCCTGCAGCAGCAATGGGAGGAGCAGCAGCGCCAGCAGATTCTCGCACAACAGCAAGCCCAACACGATTTTGAGGAACAGCAACGTCTTCAGGCGGAGCAACAGCGGCTTGCACAGGAACAACTTCTACGTGACCAGTACCAGACACAGACTCAGGGTCGGCTGGCCGAGCTCGAGCAAGAGAACTTGAACGCGCGGGCCCAGTATGAGCGCGACCAGCTTATGCTGCAGCAGTACGATCGTCGTGTGAAAGACCTGGAAGAGCAGATGAACCAACTGACTTCGAACTTGAATATGCAAAGTGCCTCGAAAGATGAGCAGATTCGATCTCTCCAGGAGCAAGTCAACACGTGGCGGTCCAAGTATGAGGCGCTGGCTAAGCTCTACTCCCAGCTCCGACAGGAGCACCTAGACCTCCTGCAGACAACCAAGAGCCTAAAGTTAAAGGCGGCGTCGGCACAGGAGGCGATTGAACGGCGTGAGAAGCTTGAAAGAGAGCTCAAAACGAAGAACTTGGAGCTAGCAGACATGATCCGGGAGAGGGACCGTGCCCTACACGACCGGGATCGCTTGACTGGGAATAACAAGGAAGAGCTGGAGAAGGTCAAGAGAGAGCTGCGCCTTGCAATTGAGCGGGCAGAAAATGCCGAACGTCAGAAAGGTACCGAGATCTCTACCCTGCTGTCCAAATACAACCGGGAGATGGCCGACTTGGAAGAAGCCCTCAGAGTAAGTCTTCTCGCAGGATAAGAATAAGAAACAGAATACCAGGCATTGACTGCAGACAGAACAAGAACCGTGCTCTCGAAGACGTCTCTTCTCGGAATGCAGACCGCCAGGGTGACCATGATGCCGTGCTCCGTGAGAAGGATGAAGAGATCGAGGTCTACAAGTCTGGAATGGAACAGGCTCTTATGGAACTGGAGGAATTGAAAATGGTGTGTACTTGAATCGGCCAATAGCGGGGACAGGAGCATGCGAGCTAACTGCTTCCAGAATCAAGGCGATGTCGACAATGCGCTGGATTCGCAGATTGACACCGTCTTGCACAGCACCGTTGCCAAGATCAACGACATCATCGACTCTGTGCTCCAAACTGGTGTGCAGCGGGTGGATGATGCCCTGTATGAGCTCGACTCCAGTATGCAGGCTGGTAACCAGAATGCATCCCCACCATATGTGCTATCTCAGATAGAGAAGGCCTCTGCATCCGCCACCGAGTTCTCTACAGCGTTCAACAACTTTATCGCCGACGGCCCGAATAGTACCCATGCTGAGATTATTCGGACGGTTTCTATCTTCTCCGGCTCGGTTGCCGATGTTCTTAGTAACACAAAAGGATTGACACGGTTCGCCAACGACGACAAGAGCGCAGACCAGCTGATCACTGCTGCCCGCAAGTCCGCACAGGCCACGGTGCGGTTCTTCCGTGGGCTCCAGTCTTTCCGGCTCGAGGGTTTGGAGGCTGATCACAAGACCGATGTGGTAATTAACAACAATCTTGAGGTACAGAGGGACCTGCAGTCACTATCGAAACTGGTCGAGTCCTTTGCGCCCAAGAGTACTAAGATCAGTACTAACGGCGACCTGGGCGACCTCGTGGATCAGGAGCTGACCAAGGCGGCCGACGCTATCGACGCTGCCGCCGCCCGATTGGCCAAGCTCAAGAAAAAGCCCCGTGATGGCTTCTCGACGTACGAATTACGTATCAACGATGTGATTGTGGAGGCAGCCATCGCAGTGACTAATGCAATTGCGGAACTGATCAAGGCCGCCACCGAGTCCCAGCAGGAGATTGTTCGCGAAGGCCGGGGTAGCTCATCGAGAACGGCGTTCTACAAGAAGAATAATCGTTGGACAGAGGGGCTAATCTCTGCCGCCAAGGCTGTTGCTACCTCCACCAACACTCTTATCGAGACGGCCGACGGGGTCATTTCTGGTCGTAACTCACCGGAACAGCTGATCGTGGCCAGTAACGACGTAGCCGCCAGTACGGCACAATTGGTGGCGGCCAGTCGCGTAAAAGCGTCGTTCATGAGCAAGACCCAAGATCGCTTAGAGGCAGCTAGTAAAGCAGTGGGCGCGGCATGTCGGGCTCTGGTCCGTCAGGTACAGGAAATCATTGCCGAGCGGAACCAGGATGACTCGGAGAAGGTTGACTACGCCAAACTTAGCTCGCACGAATTCAAGGTGCGCGAAATGGAGCAACAGGTACGTCTTGCTTGGCCCCCCTTCTCTCTACTCCCCCGAGACAGATTCTCTACCCTCCACGGATCGGTGTGGATGCTGACAGGGGTTGATTACAGGTTGAAATTCTCCAACTGGAGAACAGCCTTGCTCAGGCGCGGCAACGTTTGGGAGAGATGCGCAAGATCTCGTACCAGGAGGACTAAACTACAGGGTATCCGAGGGGTTTGCCCCGCGTTGGACAAAGATGTCAAGCGGAGGCTACACAGATTCAAGTGTCGCAGACGAAGCTTATCCTTTGTTGGGAGGCACAGGGTTGCACTGTTCCGTACTTCCTTGTCCCCCTTTGTCTTAATCTTTCTATATGCTTTACCCATCTCCTTCGTTGTAGGCATTTTTCTTGTGTCTGTTTGGATATATACCAGTAGAAACAATCCACTTAAGTTTCCTTTCCCCGCCAGACACCTTCCCTTGAAGGATAAAGCGTACCGGACTAAAATTCATTCATCGCCCACACGACACGCCTCTCCTTCCCCATGGACCCCGACAAAAAAGAACGAAAACGCCGCCACGGGATGACACCCAAGGAACACCAGCTCATGGCTGACTGACATGGTTTCATTCGAGGACCACACGACGTTCACTATTAGTGTCCTCTTAGCAAATTGACCCGGGGTCAAAACAACCGATTCGATTTCTTTGTTTCCGTTGTCTCCCCCATGGAACAAAAGTCCAAGACGATGGGCAAACAACAAATGACATCCACCCGACGGTTCGGCTGCAGGCTCCGCCCACGGCCTAGTGGAAAACCTTAAAGTTGGTTCTTTATTTCTTTGTGTTACACCATCTGCCCGTGCCTTCCGATTCGACCCCCGAACCAACCGAGTCTAGACTATATGACCTGAAATGGGGACTTTATCTTCATTGTATGCCACCTAGAAGACTATTTATCTCTTCGGGGAATTTTTGTTTTGTTTTGTTTTGCTTTGTTTATGGAGTGTACATACATATATGTTGGTTTAGTGATCTAGTGATCTAAATACATGCAATTGGCCCAATCCGAAGCGAGCACCAAGTCAGCCGGTCAACGGCGTTTGTTGGTTGAAACCCTAATTAACCCCCGAATGAACAATTCCAGTATTCGTTTCCCCGGACGTTCGCTAGGAACGTACTGGACAACGGAAAGTAAAGAAACAAAAATAGAAACACAAAATAAAAGAAGAAGACAAGAATACAAAAGCAGTGGTAAAATACAATTTGCGAAGGAGTAAAATACAAGAAATACGTTCAATGCAGAAAAAGACGGAGCAGTCAAGGAAAGTCGTGTCTGGTATCAAATCAAGATTATGCGAGGATATCAATCATGTCATACGTGGACCGGATATGTACGAACCGGGAACGAGAAAGAAAATGAACAAAGACCTATGAGGAAGCAGAAGAAAGCCTCGCCCATGAATGAAGAGACCGGAGGATGCGTCGAGTGCTTGTCGTATCGCGGCTTTCGTCGCCGCTGCAACAAAGACCGCATCCACCTTCGGTAGCACCAGTTCCTCTGACAGCTTGGGCTGCCTGTAAGCGCCATCGATGTGGAGGCTAAAAACAAATTTTGAATATTTACGCTGGAGGCTCAGATGGCTTTGTCGGATTCGGGTTGCATTGGTGGATATTTAGCCTCGATGCAGGGAATGTGAGGAAAGAAGGCAAGAGCAGTTGGCTTGAATAATTCGTGACTCAAATGTCAACGAATCTAGAGAAGTCATAGGCTTCTAGTGGATCGTAGTGCAGCGGATCATAGGGTATCAGTGGCGTATGTAGTGCGGCATCGTAAGTGAACATTGCGTTCTCCTCATCCCAGCCTGGGAACTGGATGTTATGGAAATCAACACCATTCATCATACTTGACTCCGGGAAACGTTGAGGACGGTTGCAGATGCCAACTACTTCCATTGCATCGAGCGGAGGTTCATCAGCAATTGTGCTCAAGTCACTAGTGTTTGGCGAAAATGTATCTTCAGTTTGCTCCGGTGAAGATATTTCCATAGCCGGATTAGTTTTGTAAACTTCGGTTACAATAGTATGGTTGCCAGAGATCCGAATACTGTCGTCCTTGTGGACAACCAAAGTCGGCTGGGCAGCAAAAGCCATAACCGGGGCACTGTTGCTATTGCTTGCCTTGCTCTTCCGATTTTTCTCGGAAACATAGCCACTGGTGTAGCAATGTCTAACTATATCATTAACAGAATAGTTTGTCGAAATATCGGTTTCATTTGCAGTCGTCGTTTTAACCCTAGCTATAGTATATTGTTGCTGATCATCGACATCCAGTTGCCAGCCCATAACTTCAAGATAACGACTTGGTCCAATTATACCAATGAATTGCGCATTCAAACCCAGAAAAGATTCCAGAGAAACATCGCTATCGTGGTCATCGCGAATGATGGAGTAGGCTTTGGCAAGGATTGCCCATTTGGCTTTGAATGGGTCGTTCTGCCACAGGAAGCGAAGAATGCCCGACTTTGCCTTCTGAGTGAGATCAGGGAACATGACGGAGTAATAGCCTAGTATTGTTAGAATGTGGCGTCCGCCCGATAATGATACAAGTACACTCACTTCTAAAGGCAATGAAACTATTGAGCGGCCTTCTTTTCGCATCAGAGGCACGTTTCCCCCGCGAAGTTGAGGACCGCGAGTTAGCACTTGCAGGGGTAGTAGATCCATGATTTTTGTCGGCCTTGAACTCTAAGCACGATTGAATATTTTCATTTGGATATGAAGGCTGAGGATTTCCCTGAGCTTTCGCGTCCTGGAGGTACTTGAGCAGCTCCTCCAACTGCTCGGGTGGCATGGTCATCAAAAATGCGTTGAACGCACGCTGGAGGGGGGACATCGTGGTTTCCATCCTGGCGGAAACCCTGAAAGCTTGAAATAGAATTCAGACTATGAAGTGGTACCTTATCAACTGGGAACGGTGTAAAATAATGGAGGAGAATCTGGACGTAGAAAAGGGGGCTCGGGCTTTCGAAATTTTGATGGTATAGAACTGAAGAATAGAAAGAGGAGAAGAGGAATAGGGTGAAAGACAAGAAATACTCTGTGTTAGTCTTCGACAAAGGCAGGCTTAGTGAGTTTGGGGGCTGGGTAAACAAAGAAATGCCTTACGGCTCAGTTAACTGAGACCTCCGATGGTACATTCACTCACTAATGGCTGGTGTTGACTTTTGCCACTTCAAGAAGCCTGCCCAAGCGCATAGGCATAACCAACAATTGTCTAGGACTTTGGAAAGCGCTACTACTTGAAATTGATTCTCCGAACCAGACAACTTGATGCCAGAATACTGTGTACAACCAGGCAGAGGATATATAACCCAGGCCTAAATAATCTAATCTTATTGTACATTCATAGGCCATAAATGCTATCTTGCATACAGTACAAACAGAATATAACACATAGCACATACTCTAATGCCCTACAAAATTTACTGGAGGTTTTCGCTTGTGTTCTCCGAAAGTTAACACAAAAATGACATCAGCAACAGTTTTGGAAAAATATCAAAAGACCCAGTCTGGAGAGATCAAACTGTGGTTCTGCAGGCTGGTTTTAGGATTTCAAAACAGGTATGCAGCTAGTCATTTGAACACCCATCCAAAAACCCATAAGTTATCCATAACTAAGTTTAATATCCAGAAAGCCAGTGCTCTAACCCGAGCAAGCGACTGAGATCCTTATGGCCGCAAAAGATTCGTCAAATGCCACCACTGTACCGGTGTACCTTAGAATAAGGATGGTGGACGTTTGGGTTGATGGGCGCATAATCAGATTACTTGGCTTTGTTACGTTGCTTTTCATTAATCACTTCTTTGGCAATTTAGATCTCAAGGTTGACTAAGGCACCTTCAGATTTATGCTCCCGTGAATGCATCCACGACTTTGGAAGACAGGTGTAGCTCTAATTTCAGGGAACTAATTTCGCCAGCAACCTAAGGTAGGATCACTCGGTTTCTATGATCGCATTGCTGGATATAGCCGCAAGATCCTTTTTATTTTTGCTCAGGCTGTGAGTATTTCCTTTTATCCATTCCTTTTATTTGATATCCCTAATCGTCGATTACCTCGTTCCTTTGCTTTTCTTTATGCACATTCAATAATTTAACAATATACTTGCGTATTCTTCATTGTCCATTGCAACCCCTCATATTCAAGTCCTACTTCCCATTGAACTAGTGTATTCCAAAACTATTTTGTCTTTTCCCCCCTACTTTACGTGACACCAATTGTTTATGCTGTTTATGCGAGCGGCCAGCTGTTGGTAAGCTGGCTTTGTAGTAAGATGATATGAAAATAGAACGCGACTGACCTGGTCCTAGATCCCTCGAACCGGGAATAAAGTATACCAAAGTATAAAGAAACAATGAGCTACTCAGCCCTGCACCATACGTCAAGCTACACTGCTCCTCTCCAATTTAGAAGCCTGAACCACTTAGGTCTCCTTCGTCCGGAGTCAGAGTGGGATATTTTTCTTTGTGCTTATTATGAACCGGTTCTTGTTAGCTATTAACAGGAACGTGACCAGATAGCATTATAGTTGACTGCACAGTTGTTGGGAGCAGTCAATTCTTTCTTATAGTGAAACTATGCCAGTTGGTGTTGTATAAGTAATGGTACAAAGGGGTATCATCTCCTGAAATGATTATACTCCATGTAAATTCAACGGGCTCCATGTCAGGGATTCCAGTCACTAGCCCAGATAAAAGTTGCACATCGCCACTGCGTTCCCTTTTCTTTATTCCCACTGGGCCCCAAGGGTCGTGGGCAGATCCAAAAGGACCGACCACAGTTAATACCGGCCTTTTTTGTTGACAAACTAATGCATGGTTCCTGGTGCCCTTCACACATTGGCACTGGTTTCTTTGCAAAAAGTTTCGACCAATCTTCCTTGCTGACAATCGGGTCAATGACAGTTTCGCTATCCTGGCCCGCAGATGATGCCGCTGGTCTAGATGAGCCGATGTTGCTCGTTGGAGCAGCTGGAACGCTGCGTATGCTTTGTAGATCCTTCTGTTCCTCAGGCCGCGATATAGTCGAAGACACCGGAAGGGGGCCGGATGAACACTCCGTAGCCTGCACAGGCGTATCCCGAGTTTCTGCTTCACTTATTTGACTACCAACAGCACCTTTTGGCTTAAAGAACCCCTTCAGAGTTCTCTGTGCAGCAATAGAGGTTGCTGTAGTCTGAGAAGGAAAAGATTTCGAACGCTTGACTGAGGGTGGGGGGTCGCTTTTCCCGGACCGTTTACGTACAGTGCCTTTACATGTCAAGCTGCTGTCAGCGATAGGGGGCGACGGTTTGCTAGCTCCAAGAGAGAAATTCTCTACCGCATCAATTCCATACGCTTGCTCCCGGGTTGATGCACATGTGGTTGATGCTGAAGTGGTGGGTGGTTTCTGCGAGGAAGTTTTTGGTTTTCGCGAAAACATATCCTTGATACTTCTTCGCTTGTCGAACTCTGGTATTAAGCGTCCTGATGTAGGCAAGAGAAGTTTTGTCGTGTACTCCTGTCGCCGTACACCATTGTTGAACATCCCGGGAGGATTCATGATATCAAGCATGTTAACCTGTTGTCCGTTTAAACACACGGAGCTTTTGAACATGGCATATACCGGACAGTGATCCGACCCCTGTGCCTTGGTCAGCTCTGGCATTCCCAGCAGTCTACACAACGAGAACTTACCATGAGCCCCTCTTGTATATCTGAATCACAGAACCAATCTTGCATATTCAAGCTGCACAAGACATAGTCTATTCTTGAGCCATAGTTGCCAGGCCGCGCGTTGATCTTCTGCTCCCAACAAGTATACATGCCCCTGCGATTCGGATGGAAGGACCTGCAAATATCAAAGAGAACAGGTTGCTCCCTCCCTTCATCTCGCTCCCCGATAACCTTTCCACTATACAACAGTTGATTGAACAAGCGCCGGGCTGGTGCGGATATAAAATCATCTTCTGTTGTGGTGCCTTTACGAATGGCCTCGGACACATGTGCTGCATCAATTTCACCTCTTGAGATATTGAGGTCGCCAGTAACGAAAACTCGTTTCCCCATGGCGACGAGATTTCGGATTCGGACATCCATTAGGTCAAGAAAACCCTGGCGAAAATTGTCGCGGCTTTCATCTCGATTAGCAGGACAATATAACCCAAGCAGAACAAATGCTGGAAATTCGAGGATGACACAACGCCCTTCTGAGTCGAGTGTAGCTGCATCCAACTCAAGCATTGATAGTTGCGCTATGGTTGGGTAACCACCAATCTGCTGGTCATGAGGAAGATCCCGGAATGGGACCGACGAATTTGGCGGGCAAAGTACACCAGTAAGGCCCTCTTCCGCGCGGACTGGGGCACATGTCGCATTACGGGTGTATATAACCACGCCAGAATAACCTGCGGAGTGTAAGAATTCAGTAAGTGACTGTGTGTGACCTGAGAGAGACGAACCCTTTTTGAATCTAGGTAGACTGAAGTGGCAGTCCCAACCAGGCACCAGGACCATGTCATCTCGAAGATCTTTTCGCTGAATTTTCGTTTCCTGAAGAACAACAATATCGGCCTCTAAGATCTCAAACATGGCCTTTTGCATCTCAGCCTACACATCTGAACCATTACATGCTGGGGATGTATACCTCGAAGGTCCGCTTGCCTCTCCATGGCTCATAGGCAAACGGATTTCTACGGAAGTCTCAGTACGGAATCAGGTAGTACGTATAAGGAGAATACTAAATGATACCGGATTCCATTGACTGTTCAAGATAATCAGTCTCTTGAAACATAGCGTTCTTTCATACTTAGTTTAAGCTTACCGTTCCACGTAGTAATGCGAAACCCCATTCTGACCGTTGTCGTCTAGAATCAACATAATCAACGTGTACTCCAGGAGGAAGCGAGGGTAGTAAACACCATCATCAATAGGAGTCCAATTGAAACACGGAGACAAGGCAAGGACTGTGTCGCACTAACGTACATGTACGACGTCCAGTAGTATGGGACATATTCGGCATTATACCCGGATGACACGTGACCAATCCTGGGGTGACATCACGCGGTGCTGACTAACAACTACAGCGAATCACGGGGCCGCTAAACCTCGTCAACCGGAAGGCCCGACGTCCGTATAATCCCACCGTCTGTTCAAACGCAGAAGACGTTCACCTTCGACCTGTCAGGCCGCAACCACCATGTTTCCTCAACGCAACATTCTTCGTCTGGCTCAGCGCTCTGCGCAGCAGCAGCGTTCCGCTCCGGTTCGCTCCGCCATTCAGCGCCGGTTCAACAGCACCGACTCCAAGCTTCCCTGGATGGTCGACAACGAATTCAACCGTGAGAGAGCGGCTGTCAAGCACCACGCTGCTTCTACCAGTGGTGCGTACACCCAATTGACTCGCTATCAGGCTCGACTGAACGTCTGTGGGGAGAATTTGCATGATACTGACACAATGCCTCTTTAGATCTCTGGCGCAAGCTCTCTATCTAGTGCGTATTGCCTGATCCTTTAAGTCCTTATCGGGTTGCAGGCCAATGTATACTAATCATACTAGTGCCGTTATTCCTTGCCTCATCCTTGGCTCCCTCAATGCTTACAACCTCTGGGAAGAGCACTGGGAGCACTGGGAGCACATGCCTCCCCTTGAGGAACGTGTGGAGTACCCATACCAGAATATCCGTGTGAAGAACTTCCCCTGGGGAGATGGTGACAAGGTAAGCTCCTTCCGTTTCATCTAAATCAATCTGCTAACTCATTTTCCCCATATAGACCATCTTGTAAGTTTCGAATGCCTCTCATCCACTCTTTACCGTGGCGAACCACATCGAGTATCAAATTCTTGATGAACTTTATCGTTGCAGGTAAAATTATGTCTTCTATGAACATGTGCTAACAAGTAAATAGCTGGAACGACAGCGTCAACTACCACAACAAGGATAAGGCTACCTAAACCTTTGACGGACAGTGTTACAGCCTTCAATCAGCGATTCTCGGAACTTATGGCGAGGAAAGAAGTGTATATTTACTGCAATGAGCAGATGATTGAACGGGGAGTGGTGGGATCTGTTGACAAATGAAGAGTTTTACCATAGTGCAGGTGTTGACTTAGTCTTTCTTGTTAGAAATCGAAGACGTGTATCATTTGGCTTTTCAGGTCGCCTGGAGAGTAAACTTAAGCCCTCCGAACTAGTACCTCATCACCTTTCAGTACTACCGAGCCGCTGCAAATCCAGGTATTTTGCTGCATAGTCATTTGCAAGGACCAAATCACCGGTCAAGTGCATAACTGTAGCCTTTTTTGCCATCATCTCGCACTGCCCTTTGATATCCCCAATCTTTTCGTATTGGTCGTGAGCGCAATCTAGGTATTCCAAGGCCCGGTTCATGTACTCTACATTTTGTCCCGCTCCCTGGCTCCGGACCTTCCCCGCAATGCCCATGTTTGCATCCACTAGAAGAGAGTATGCGCGGGCTGCCAGGGCAGAGTCGCTGGATTCAAGTATTTGAGGCATTATACTCTCCACCATTGCCACGACCGCCTCAAATTCCCTCAGGCTGAGAAGGACTCCTGAAAGAACGCAAATGGCTTCCCAAAGGCCAGGGAGAAGTCTCGATCGGTAGGCAATGTTGGCTGCTCTCATTGCCAGAGAGAACCCCCGCTGGGGCTGGGAGGTCTTCTCGAGTATACAAGCCTTAAGACATAAGAGCTTGACTTGACAGTGGATGTCGAAGTTGTCTCGGTGGATGGTTTGGGCTGTGCGTTCGACAATCTCTAATGCGCGGATGTAGTTGCCCTGTCGGATTAAGTACTCAACGTGGAGAAAACCCAACAGAGCTGCTATGTCATTATCCGGCAGTTGTATTGCTTGGAGCTGCGAGAGAAGATATTCTGTTGCCGTTTTGTCATTGCTGAGGGATGTTAGAGTGCGAAGTACAATATTCAAATCGAGCAACGTACCGATATATTTGTCGTTTCAGCTGCAACACTCCAGAGAAGAATGTCCAGTATTGATTTGCTTTCAGGGAGCGTAGTTTGTCAGGCCCTATGCGATTCATACGAACCAAGGCCTCTTTGAAACGACCTTGTTGTGCAAGCTTTTAATGGTCAGCGACAGTCACGAACGCAGGTGATATCTAACCTACCAACTGTGAGCTACGGAAGCTACTCTTCAGATAGTCTTCAAACGGTGCTTTACTTGCGTAACACTCCTGGAAAGTTTCACTGCTCAACCATGCCAGGTGTGTGATACCTACTGACCATTAGCAAGAATTACACATTCATTTCAGAAGCAGTAGTACCGATCCTAGCATAAAGCGCAGTCTGTAATAGTAACTGTGGCCCGGTTGAATTTATAAGGTTCTTTGCTACATTGAGATGCGATGCCCGGATTATGTTTTCGATGGAAGAGGCAAGACTCTCACCCTAAATTTGTCAGAGGAGTTAACAGAGATAGGAAAGGGAAAGGACATACATTTTGCATTTCGAGTTTAGCTTCACTCAGTAGCGTTGTACTCAAGAGACTCCACATTTCTGTCTCCTTTGCTTTCGCCTTGAGGAATGCCAGTCCTTCTTTCTCATTTCCAAGCATACCCGTGTTTTGAACGTCCTTCATCTGCTCTGGGAAAGCTTTGCCAAAGTGGTATAGCCAGCTCATGCAAAAGTTCAGGCAGTTCATATCGTGAGATTCTCGGGCAATCGAGACTGCCTCTTGCATCGCGGATACAGCTTCTCCATAGCAACCAAAGTCTGCTTGAAGGATAGCAAGATTTAGTAACGCGTACTGATATGAGCTCCGGTCTCTACTGTGCATCGTATAATCGAAGTAACGATGGAGGTTGTCAAAGGATGATGGGTAATCTCCGGCCCTCCAAGCGTCCAAGAATCTAGGGAATTAGTATGCATTACCGTTAAGCATGAATTAGTTCTCACCTTAAGTAGTGTATTAAATTGGGCAGTGTCACTCCAGATGTAATGATGCGTTCCAGGGATGCCTTCATGCCATCTGGCACTCTTCCTCCCATTCCTGGAATCGTTAGAGCCGGGTATCATTGATAAGGAGGACTCGCATACTTTGCAACTCGCCAATTTGAAATTCCAGCAAGCGCGCTACGTCTTTCGTACTGACATGGTTATCCTCCTCCAAGTCGTCCTCAATATTACCATACGCTACCTGAGCAAGCTGACTATCGGTGTCCAAACCAAGCTCAAGTAAATTCATATCAACCATGGCCTGTTCACCAAACGGGTTCCGTCTGGCCCAAGCGTGATATGTGGGGAGGCGATACTTGACAAAGCCCTTCCAGAGCTTGATCGAGTCATGGAACTGTAGTCTTGTGAACTCAAGCTGTGCTCGCCTCACAAATGCACCCAGCGGAGAGCAGCGGGAGAGGCGCATACATCCCAGCTCCGGGGCCAGGCCGTTATCCCTATCGCGAATCTGCTCCTCCCGAGATTTGACCAACAGATCTAACACATTAGAGAAGAATACCTCCAGTGCATCACATGAATCAATGGACCAAACTTTTTTGAGGAACAAATCCCAGATCGAGCGTCCAGGAATTGAAGATGAATGCGTAGACAAAGCTCCTTCGAGGTCAGTTATGGATGCTGAGTATCGTGCCTTCCAGTCTTTAGAGGAGCTTGAGTCAGCGTCCAGGGGACTTAAAGACGCGACCAAGAAGGAGAGAACATGGACAGCAGAGGAATTGGGAATGACCCCTTCCGTGTAAATGGAGATCAGACATAGCAAGGCAACCTTGGATGGCGTGAGAAAGCGACTCATTGTGCTTACGAATAGTCCATTCCCTGTCCTGGTAGCTGGTATTGTCAATGAGGACAGGGTCAAATGTCGAGTGTGTAGTGCGACGCGTCAGGATAACACTGTCGGATAACACTGTCGGATAACCTTGGAAGTGCGATGAGATTCCTGGAGATCGTGACAGATTAATTCAGTGACCCCACCAAATCGTGTGTCCCAAATCGGACGCTGTGCAGGCTACGCGGTATGAACAACAGCAGAGGAGAAGCAAAACGTAGAGCATCCTAGCTTTCGATAGTAACTTTTTTAGTACTCAATGGCTATTGCTGAAGATGTCTAATACATACGACCATAGGGTGTGGAGAACAGGGCTTCCCGTCCGCTCAGCCGTACTTAAGCCACACGCCGGGAGGTTAGTAGTTGGGTGGGTGACCACCAGCGAATCCCTCCTGTTGTATGTTTTTTTGCACTTCATTTAATTTCCTTATCCCACCCATATGTTTATCGTTTTATGGTTGCACTTTAACTTCATTTCGTTTCTTCTCTTTGTGACTGTCTACTGTTATACTGTTTTGCCGTATGTTTATGGCCCAAACGAGACAACCGCTCTTGACACCTGCACATACCTACTGATTCTCAAGCAGCAAGACACAATATCTTACATACAGCTCCATTCGTGAATTTCAACAGTTTTAGGAGGATTACTTGCTTACCAATTGACGAGCATAATTGGGGGTTGAACGGGTAATTTCAAGGGCCCCCATAGATATTAATGCGAAATTATGAAGTCAAAAAGGATGGTTCCTAAACTAGGTATAGGTGATCATGATGCTTTTCAAATGATGATTGACTTGGCTCTCGAGGTATATTTGGTACAAAGGGTTGGTCCCGAGGCTGGTATGATGATGATCAGGGTGCTGGGCTACGAATCCCAAAGCACTCATCTTCTCTTCTTGATGTCAAATTCTCATAAGTCTTGCATGCCTCTGATCCCTGAATCACCAAAAATAACCGCTCTAAGATAAGAAAGTTAAGAAAAAAAAAAAAAAAAACCTTGCCAGAGAATTGCAATTATCGTCACTTTACGCCCAACAAGATAGTCGGAATAATGGGAAAATCATGGATCGTGAAGAGCTTTCAATTGGTTCTCCGGAAAAGGTAACGAAGATCTTCCTAACCAGGGATAACATTGTCTTGCCTCACAGTACACCGGAGGTGAATTGACTCCTAGCGGAGGGAAGATCCCTGGCGAAAGCTGGCAATAAGATCAGCGTATTGGGCTGTGTGTTCAACTGCTCTTCTTCGAGTTCTTTATCATGGTTACCGTTACCTTCAAGTGAGAGGTGCATGGCAAAGCGTTGCAGAAGCCCATTTTTGGCTGGCTGGTCTTGATCCATGTCCAGTTCGTTATATGGGCCTTGGTCATCAATCGTGTCGTCTTTCGTGTCATCAAACGCTTTGAGGTACCGAAGGATATCTGAAGCGTATTTATATGTGCTTGATGAATGTTGATTTAAATGAATATTATTATCTTCATTATTTGCATCATTCGCATAATGGATCGGACCATAACATATCTAATTAACTAACTCAATAAGCTCCCAATTGCTGCTTTTGACCTCTACGGACCCTATTATGGTCATTGCACAATCGATCTTCCACTTCCGCCACCTGAGAATTATCCTGGTTGACAGAAGGTAGCTTTGGCTTCTCGGAACACTGTGTGAAAATCCAATCGCCTTACCATCTACGCTCATTGGTGACTAGTTGACTCTCGCTGTATTGGAATGAAAGAGAATCCGGTAGGCCGTGCGTGGTATGGATTCGCTGACGCATTAAGCGTTTGGCTTGATGTCTAAGTTTTCTTTATATTAGAGAGAGGATTTAAATCGCAGGAGACTTCAATATGCGTGAGTTATTCCTAACGGCAGATATTGATGCTTCCTAGCTCTTCTGAGATGGCCTATAAGTATTCTACGACTTAGGTACAAGGACTTCATTGCTGCTCCCTTGTACGCCGATAGATTCTCACACTGCGGCTTGACTTTATCCAAGTTTCAGCAACAAACCCCTCCACCCGTTAGACCAGTCAGCGCTAGCAAAATACCACGCCTTTTCCCACCATTCTACTTCTTTTACGCTTCAATACCTGGATATGGAATACTTTCAGCTTGTTAAAATTTGGGGCAGCATCTGGTGCACTGCGAAGGCTTTCCATTGCCTTCTGTGCTTGTATACGGACTGTAGATACTTTATACTTGGAGGTCTACTTCAGAGGCTACTTGTAGTTCGGGCAATCCAGATTGTTTCATTTACCCTTACTACAGTGTGACAATAATTCATGAATTTCTATTTGCACAATATCCGTTTCTGGTCATATCGGCTATATATAGTCTACAAACCCGCTTCTTAGACCTGAGGCAACCATTTACCGATAAATCATTCGCAGTACTATTACTTGGCGCAGTTTACTACATACATGCCTTCGCTCTCACATGTCTTTAACCAGCCATTTGCCGTAATGATGAAGCCTAATGTTGAGTTCTAGGATATTTTAGCGAAATTATTCGTTAAAAATTAGTCATGATATCATGAAAGGCAGAGAATATCAAATATATCTCCCCAATGAGGTACTGTGGAAGGATACTTAAAGTTCTATCGGGTCTTGATAGAGCAACTTTCAAAAGGCGGTCGAAAGTATACCATAAAACACGAACCTTGTCTTCGTTGCTCCGACCTAGGATATTTTAATATAGAGAGTGTGTACCCAAGTCATACCTCCTGAGGGATAAGTAGTATAGCAGCTGCTCAGAAATAGAGATAAACATAGCCAACCCTGCACAATTGACGTCATCTTTGATTACCCCGCTTTTGCGCTGTTTTAAACGTATTAATTCCACTATCCCACGCGCCTTTGATATCCATCCAACGCCCCTACAGCATCGTGATGCCGATCACTCACATTGTTCTCTTCCAGTTTAAAACGGGCACTAGCCCTGAAATTATTAGAGATGTACGTTAATAGTTCCCCTGCTAGTTCTGGCAGATCTAAGAGGCCATCATCGTATGCATATCAGGACAGTGATGTAGATACTAACCACGACTCCGGCTAGGTTTGCAGTCGGATGTTGGCCCTAAAAGACAACTGCCTTCACCCTTCGTCCCAGAAACCATATATCAGGACTTCATCTGGTGGCATAGATAATTCTCCTGAAGGCATCCAGGTATGTTACTGTGTATTCTACAAGTAGCCTACATAGATACATAGTTCCAAGTCACTTACTGATTTCCTCGTCGAGGATAGCATGGCATCACACATGCCTTTGTTGTTGAGTTCACGAATGCCGCGGACCGAGACTACTATGTCAAGGAGGATCCTGTTCATCAAGGATTCGTCAAGAGCCTTGGTGGAGTTGTCGAGAAGGCGCAGGCCATTGACTTCACTCCTGGGGTATTTTAAAGAAAGGAAAAAGTAAATGAAGCAGAGGATTGCTTGTATTGCTTCGCTCGGCCTCTACTTATGGATACAGATTACCATCACCTTTACGTTTCTGCTACGTTGTTTTCTTTCCGGATAGAGAACTGAAGATATTAAAGGAAACATTTCGGTTTAGAAATTTAGAGAGCCTATTTAGGGTTATGTTTGCCTAAAATATGCGGCGACAGGCTTCTGCTTGAGTCATTTAATTCTGGCTAGTGCGGCTTGTGGAGCATGACGCATACAGGTACGTATATATACCTATAGGGGAAAGGTGAGAGACGAGAAAAGAGGGGAAGTAAACAAATAAGTGAACAAGATTTGATGGAACTACTATCTAGTAGTACGGATACAGTTGTGGTACTAGGTTAGAGGCAATCATACGTAGAAGGGAGCTTTATCAACCTATGGTAAGGCACCGCTACCCTCGTGCGGTCCGTGCGCTGGTCCTGGCGCTTAATACGGTTCACTAACTGCCTTTCTCTCCATTTATGTTTACATCCTGGACTGGGATATTACCTACTAGCTGGACAAGAATTATTGATGTCTCGAGACGCAATAGCGTGACTTTTATCCCTATTTGTTTTCAGAAATAGCCTATACTTCCCTACGATGGAGCTATTACTAGGTATCCTAGAAACAAATAATCTTTGCAAGTATCTAGTAGTGATATTGGCAAATCAAAGTTCTTAATTAGACCCGGCAAGCAAAGGGCTCAGAACTGGCTCATTCAACTCGTTGTCGGAGAAAGTATGTGAGAATTGACTTGCTCACTAGTCGTAGATGCTGCATCAGGGGTCAGGGTTGGTGCATTTACAGGGGCCTAAAACTCAAAACAGATCCATTCTACTCAGTAGATTATCCCCACTTTCATTTCTCGGCTCTCGAAGTCTAAAAGATAGGGAAGCGTCAAAACGTGTGATGGGTCTAGATAGTAGATGTATTCACCCTTTCATGTTAGCATAACAAGTGACTGTGATTGGTTTACCATCAGGTATAGTATACCATACTTTAATGCTGTAGCTGGACTTTGGGGGTCGCGGTGCTCGACCGGATTGTAGTACTAGTCTCATAAACGTGTTTATTGCTGTGGGGTGATAATTGATACAAACAGCCTGTATTGTAAATCTTTTTGAAGGGACCATAAGGAGTTTCAGCAAGGCCGGAGAATTAAAGAAATTGTAGCCAAGAATGTGTGAACGCTCAATATATCAATGTACGACAGAAAGAATTTATATAAGTATTTTAAAGTTCTAGTACGAATCGTATTTATAAATCCTAGCGATGTCAGTAATACTGTCCTCACCGCCAATCCGAGCGTTCAGATTTACCTACAAATAGAGTTTGTGTCGCCATACAATGTATCACTCCCGGCCCTCCACTGCTGGATTCGAATATAAATGCAACTTTCTTAGCATGATAGTGGTTTATATATAGACTTGTTTAAATGCTTCAGCTCTTTAGAGTCTTATATATAGCACATGTTTGAATTCAATTAAGTAACATTAATATGCAAAAAATATAACTATATATCATATTGTAACAAAGCAATGATACATACGTAGTACTCTAAGTGTGCCACAATCGCGAATGATCAGTGGTGCCTCAGCCTTGTCTTACAAGCCTAGTCGTACATTCTATCCAATCTTATTGTATTCTCCACCACCCCAACTCCCCCTAAAAAGAGGGAAAGAAAAGATCAGCGGCAAGGCAATGACTTGGTTGAACATAGGATAGCCGCCTGTCTAGAGAATATAGGGAGTGCTACTCTAAGCATGGGTTTGTGGTGTACCTGGCACACACACATATATGATATTATGGGCTACCTACTCCGTAGGAATAATGTGGACCCATTGCAGTAGGTGATAGGATGGACACGTCCTCAAGGCCAAGCATGGGAAGGGTACAGCAAGTGATCCATCGTGGATGCATATGTTCTATTATTCAGGGAGCGGTTATTCTATGTGCCTTACAGGCCCCACGCGTGTATGGTGCCGATATGGCATTTCTTTCATCGATAAGGTTTACTTAGTTACCAACAGTCGGGTAAACGATCCCAATCTACCGTTGGATTGGCCTTTTCTAGGAAGAGTCAAAGCGTCTCAGCGTTAAAATTTCATTTCAGAATAGCGATCTACGAGCACACATTCCCACTTATATTCGCAACCATATATGGTTCATACAATAAAATTTAATTTATGGTCCTCTGGCTTGGATATGTCTGAGGGAGGCGCTTAGTTCTTCGTCAAATGTTGTAGAAACACATATAAGTACTCATTTAGAAGCCGCATGCCTTCAAAAGAGTATGCAAATAATCATATAGCTCCCTTTCTACCATCTTTATCCTGTTGTATACCTGCCAAATCAAGATGAGACTACAATATCTTCTGATCATCTCACTCTCAGCTTTGGCTGTTGCTTCTGATTTTATTCAAACCTGTCGAGATGTGGCCTTTAATCCCCCCTCGATGTTATTCGCAAGCTGTGCAGGGCCTTCGAGCTGGACTGTGAGCCAGCTAGATCTAAATCTCTGTTTTGGTATTACCGATGGCCAATTTATCTCGAAAGAAAGGTACGTTTCTACCTTCCAGACCCTAATAGCTGCCGGGATTTGGATTTGAAACAATGCTCACCGTGTAATCAAGTGGTGATGGGTTTATGGAATGCTACAGTGCAGAGTTTGGCAACCAGGGGACAGAGCTCCTCGCTAGTTGCGTCATCGGTGAAAGAAACATATATGGTATGAAGGCCGCCATAAGTCAGTCTCCATTCCACACAACCAGACCAGGGATACCTCTGTAGGTTTAACTTAAAACAAACGAGCAAGAAGCTGACAACTAGATAGACGAAGTAATCTCGAATCACAACGGGGTCCTCAACTGCTTCGACCATGACGGTACAATAGTCTAACGTTAGCCAACAATATCCTCCGCCGGACATGACGGACTATGAGCGACGAAGCCCCCGCTCTATGCAGCGAGCTACAAACTTTGAGACTAGCGTCAAGGATTCAGAGTATTCATCAAGCTAAGGAAATGTTAGGGTTGACTTTTATGCTATGAAATAAAACGATAATGTCACAATGGATAATGGAAGTACACATTTTTCTTATGCATTTCCGTTCCCGAGAAGATTCGGGCGTGATCACCTTATAGCCCTAAGCAGTATAGGCTTGAGTGGCAATGCAAATATGCCTTTGATTTCCCTTAGATCAAACTTATTTGGACTAAGCATTTACCTTCGTGAGAGGATACTATAGGTAAGTTGCGTTAATGTTATTCATACATGTATAATGGCGTAGTATCGGGTCATAGATATCAATGAAATGCCACCCTCTAAAGAAGCGGCTGGTACTAAAACTATGCTCTCGAACTTCATGGCCGGCTAACTGATTAATTAAAATCCATGAATAGTCGATAGCATAGATGGGAATCGAAAGAGCCTCATTATTACACGCATTTCCCCAAGCTTTATTCTTTCTGATACCTACTAGCTGGGCCTATGGAGGCATGTCTCGGCGACCTTTTAGTGTGGATAATCTTTTCTTCAGTCCTATGTAAGCTTTTGGTGTCGAGTTCCTTCATACTAGAGCCGCATATGAATGACTATACAGGACACGCACCTCTGTAGTTAATTTAGAAACTAGAAGTTGCGGAAATCTTCCAAAAAGATGCAAGAACATACTATGTGTTTTGATTAGATCTCGTTCTGCCTCCATTATTATTTATGTTCCAACTTTGAAGACGAGGATTGAAATAACGCCGAGTAACTTTTAGAGTTTTAGTCCATGGTCTAGACCTAAAACTGGCCTCGTCCCTATTTATCACTTTAGGTTTTCTTGAATTGATCCGTAGGTGATCCCAACTTGAGCTTTTATCAGTCTCAAGGGGAAATGTAGATATCCAACCCGTAAGTCTCAATTCTTATATGCCAAAGTTAACATGACCAAAGGGATATTTGTAAAACTACCTTTCAGGGAGATTTATTTAGCATGATAAATATTATATGGCTTGGCTGCATCCATTTACGTACATATATGTACAGTGGGCCAGTTCGTAAGAAACCCAACTAAATTTAGAGAGACATAACACGAAAAGATCATCGCACATTGACCCTTAAGACAGTAAGTAAACTGCCGGAATATCAGGACACTCATGCGTACCACGCCAATCAAGTGAGGCGCCTGCATGCTTCCAAGACGGCAACTTCGTATTCAGTGCATTAGCTCCAGTTTAGACCTCTGGTGAGGGAAGTATACAGATTTCCGATGCCCTGCCGAGTCCAGTACGTCGTCCACCCGAAATTAGCACCTGCAATGAAGACAAGTGTTAATGGCGGGGGTGTTTAATTACCTCGTATTTGCTGATCATGGACATGACCCAGGCTATACAGCGCATCGTATCGCATACTTTCTAGTGAGCCATGATACACATATAAGCCGGTGTCTCCTCTCTCCTTACTTCAGCCAGCGTTGCTGCTTTTCTATCTTTACAAACCCCGTCACTCGCTGAAGCTACACTTTCCACTTTCAGAACCACCAGTCGTTTCCAATCACTTAACAGCATGCATAAGTTCCTCACCATAGCTGCCCTCTTGGCAACCACAGCCCTCGCGGCAGACCGCACACCAGCCCTGGTCGCCCGTCAAGTAGTTGAGCTCCCTTGCTCCTACCAAGGTGAAAAAGAGTGTGGGAATGGCTGCATCCCGCTCTCCTACACTTGCTGCCCCAATAACCTCGGTGGCTGCCCCTTGGGCTCCTATTGCGACGGTCTGGGTTGCTGCCCCAATGGAAAGACCTGTACCGGTCCAGGGGGCGTTTCCACTCGCCCCGGATCGACTATCTCCATTACCAGCACTCTGACCAATACGTTGACGTCCACAAGCACCTCCACGCACACCTTGACGTCCAGCGAGGTCGTGACCCCGACTTCCACCCCTACGCCTAGCTCGAGCGCCTCATCCTCCCGGAGCGTCATTCCTCCTAGCTCGAGTGCGGTATCTCCCTCGTCATCTACGCCGGCTGTGTCGCCCACCTCTCCTCCCCTTCACACTGGTGCAGCTTCTCACTTGACCCCGGGTCTCTATGCTGCTGCCGGGCTCATTGTTGGTGCTGCTATCCTTTAGATGAGTCTTGATGGGTACTAGCGTCGTGGTACTGTGGATCGTGGCTTGATCCTTGGCCTATTCCATATGCTGGGATATGCCTGCTTATTTGAAACGGTTACATAGGGAACGATAGGCAGGGTGTGTATAGTTTAATGTCGTATAATGTATTTTACTTTTCTGCTTCACCCTCTTCAGATGCCATGTCATTGTAACTATCGATATCTAAGTCTTAGAGGGTCCAGGCTTGCGTAGCATCAAAAATGCGGCTTGCTACTAAAGAACATTTTACATACGTCGCTTTGTCTTCTTATGTAATTCTTTTTCTCTGCTTGTGATTATATTAACTGCTAAGTAGAGAGCTACCGGTGGTATTCCCTCCTACATCTGAATTTTGTTGACCAGGTTTGCTTGCTTCCAGCGGCCAAAGCAGTGGGCAGTGTGTAAATGTCAACCAAAGTACAAGATGAAAGACGAAGTAGTAGTCATGATAAACCTGGAATGGATTACGAGACAACCATTTATATACAGTTTTGTTCATAGCAAATAGTGGGGATATATATATATAGACGACTCTTCTCTAACTCAGTCCAACAGAAATAAACAGGGTATGATACCATGCACCCGGCGAAATTCACAAAGAAAACCAAGGGGGGGGGGGGAAATATTGGGAATAATGCACTGTACAAAAAGACATCCACAAAAGACGACAATATAGCTCATCTTATAAAAACCAAGACAGAACAAAAAGGAAGCTCCGGTTAGAGCTACTTTTAGCACCACAAAAAGAAAGGCCACATGGTATATAGATGAAATAAATACATTACAACAAGATATTGAGCAACCATATTCACCGCGCTACTTTCCACCCACAACATCCCCGCTTGGTGACGTGATCTGGAATCGCTCAAAGTTCAAGGTATAGTTTCCTTTGACGCCCGAGTTCGCGAGATCGATAGTGTATTTGTCCTTGGAGCTCGGATATGGACCAGTAAGGTATGTTTCAATCTTCTCTTCCGAAAGCATGGCCGCATCAAGCGTACCGGTTTTCTCGAAGATGTAGAGGACAGCTATTCGAGAGAAATCCAGAACCTCCGTGGAGACTGTAGCAGTTGGTGTGGGCGTGGTTGTGGTGGTCGAAGAGCCTACGGAGCTCTCCTTGGTTGTTGATGGTGTTGTGCTTGTCGGCGGTCCGTGGACCTCTGTTGGTTCTGAACCATCGAATATGATGCCGTTCATTGTTGAGGTAGAGCCTCGAGCAGCGAGGGTCCGCGTGGGGACAATTTCTGGGGTGGCGGGAGGTATTGATCCACCCATTTCGTCTTCTGGCAAGGGAGAGGCCGGCAGATCAACGGGGAGAGAGCGTCGGGCTTTGTTGTTGGACACGCTTCGAAACGAGACAAGTGTGTTCTCTGTAGTACAGGAAACATTATTTTGGCTGAAGAGCGCCATGATGGTGAGCGGATCTAGCGGAATGCTATAGTTATTCTGAGAGTCTTCGAACAAGCGCGGGATTTCGCTCCCCATCGTGGCGTTCCTGGATTCAGAGTCGTCATCTATCTCGGTCGTGGTGCAGCTGGCATCCCCAGCTATTGTACACCGAGAACCTGTATAGCCATTTGCGCAGACACAAGAGCAGACATCACCGCTCGAGACACTAACACCACCGTTCTCACATGGCGCAGTCTTCGCACACCCAGTCTTGGCACTAGCTGCCTTATGCTTCGGTACGGCGACGACGAAGATAGGTACCAGAACAGCAATGAGGACAATGATAAGAAACACAACACAAAGAATAATGAAAAGTCGAAGGGGCATTCCACAGCAACGACGGGGCCGTTTTCGTTCTTTCTCCTGGACCTCCCTAGGTCCCGATTCTCGAGAATTCAGCTGATGCAATGTTGATCGCTTGAAGAAAAAAGGCCAAGACGAGTGACCGTTCTCCGGCGTAGCAGCTGGTGGGGGAAACGAGGCAAGGATATCCTTGATGGATCCCGACCCACGATGTTGGTGGCCTGGACATAAAGTTAGTTTGCTGAACCGATTTACTGGTGGATCCAGGTTGCTTACCAAATGGGAATCTGGACGGCCCTCCGCCGAGAAGATCATTCCGGCTTGCCGTTCTCCCATGTTCCAGATTTGTTGCAAGTTTCGTCGCACGCCGAATTAAGTCAGGCAGGCTTGTAAGACTACCTCGCTTCTCCGCGTCACGCACGGCACCCATATTCAGGGGAGGTGGTCTGCGGCCACCTGGTCTTTTGTCGCTCATCGTAGGCATGGCCCTCGGGAAAACTTCAATCTCTTTTGCGAGAGCTTCAGAGTTGACATGTTCCGGGTGTTGACCAACGTCCAATACGAATGGGGCCTTGTCCAAATCAAAGTGAGACGAATCAGATGATGATGTCAGAAACGAGCCTCTCCTTGCCTTTCCGGCCGAAATTTCCTTTGAGAACGACGGTGGTACAGGCGACTCGGCAGTAGATCTTCGGATCATGCACACCGAAGGCTGGCCTCGTTTTCCTATGCTTGCCTGTCTCACTAGGGTAGAATTGTTCCCATTAACAGCATGATCCGACTCTCCATCATCATCATCATCATCATCATCATCATCATCTTCTGAGACTCCATCAAGGTAGGTCCCCAAGATCTCTGATTCAGCCTTTGCTGAAGTCCATGACGGGATCGCCCTGCTTGATACATAGGAGCCTTTGCTGTCAGATCGCTCCTCTGGAATAGGTGAAACAGACGAGACGCGATTAACAACCTGACGGCCTACCGGAGGAGGGGCGAGGTTTGCTACATTCCTTTGAGAGGAATCGGCCGGTAGACGTTGAGCGGGGAAGGGAAAATCAGGGATCGATGCCATAGAGGCAGCCGAGGAAACTGTGGAATGCCTCAGAAGATCCTCCGTTGCTACAGACGCGCGAGGAGTTGACGCTGCAGCACTACTTGGGCTCGAAGGAGGAGGTCGTTGAACAGCAACCCGGAGAGGCGATGAATGTGACAATGGCTGCGAGAACGATGGGACTGGTCGTTTGATGTGTAGAGGGCTCGGTGCCACATCTGGAACGCTTCTCTCTGAATACACTGATGGGGATGGCATGTCGGGCCTTGGGGGCCGCTGAGGCGGAGGGCCCTGGGTAGTGAGATGTCTTACGTGAGAATCGACCATGTTTGTCTGCGAGTTCTCGGTTGGTAAGGGCCATTGTGTTATATGCGCAACATCTTTTCTGAGAGGTGGCACTCCTGCATCCGCCTGAGGTTCGTGACGTCTCCCAGCTTCTAGCATCTCTCTTGCCCGCCGAACAGATCCTTGTCTTTCCATCATGCAAGTTGAGCCGGATCTAAGGCGTGAATCTGTGGTTGGAAGCGTGTGCTGCGAGGATCAGAGAACGGGAGTTGACAACAGTCACGATATGTTCCCGTAAGATACAGTTTTTGTCAACAGTTTTTGTTAAATCATGAAATCACCGATGTGGCGGCGTTAGTATATTCCTGTCTGTTTGTGATGATTGGAAACCAGCTCGACACGTCTGTCAAGGACAAGATCAATGAGTGAATAGAAAGTTGGCGGGTAGTTTCTGAAAAGTTGATCTCAAATGTTTTCCTGCAGCAGTGGCTGATGACTACGCTGTAAATGCGCAAAAAGCGAATGATACTTGAGGACCCTGAGCTCAAGTTTAAGGAAAAAAAAAAAAAAAAAAAGGAATGTACTGATAGAAGAATTGCAATGGCACTCAATACCGTTGCTGCGGTGAATATGATACGAAGTCAGCAAAGGCATAGTTCGAAATATCCTAAAGGGTTGTATATGAGAGAGCAGTGTACCATGACTAAAAGAGCATCTAGTGTAAGAAATGAATGAAGGAGGGCAAAGGCTTCAAATCAACAAGTCATTGTGACCAACAAGACCCGTATGATATCTTAATAGAACATTTGACAGTTTAGAAAACCCCTTAAGGCGCAGGCAAAAACAGGTATTAGCCCCATCGAATAAACCATGCGCTGATGCTGGTAGACTTACCTTACGAATGCAATAGCAGGGGCCACGAAAAGAAAAGAAAACACAGAGAGCCTCTAGCCCTTATCGAGAGAATATAAAAGGAGAAAAATGTAGAGAAGGCAGGAAATAGCCTCTAGATGCGTATAGAGAAAGAAACTACGTCGCAGGAATGGGTAATAAGAATCAGGGTTTTCCAGCACCCCGAGAATCTAAATCAAAATCAGGCGTCGTTGCTTTCTTTTCCGCGCTACTGAAGTATGCATGGGCACAGAATGAGAGAGAGGCGTAGATTGTTTTGGGACCCGGTCCATGCCAAAATCAAGTGGAGCACGTAGCGTGGGAGCGGACACGAAAGGGTCATTTGATAGCGTCGCAAGTGCGACAAAGGATCAATTGACCAAGCAGGCAATATGCAGTTGCTAGTCCTTGTTCATGTATGACAATCCCCATACTGCGTGTAACATTTCAGAGGACGAAAAAGAAAGACAGGTCCCCATCGAGCCAGTTTGCTGTTGGGCATTTCTTTGTTCGCGATGAATTTTGGTGCGAGATTGTTGGAGTTTCCATGAATCGCTGCAACATCAGGTTTAGAGTTGTATCATAGACGAGGACCGCGGATTGGCTCGACGAGTTTTGAGATAAAAACAACTTTTGGAAGCGAAGTGACTGGATTATTGGGTCTGCGGCCGTTCTCGAGCCCCATTGGCCCGGTGGGGACACCCAAGGCCTTTAGCGGTCGACGGTATGTCTCAAGTTGAGGAAGAGGTGCCACTCTGCGAATTCAACATGAAACCATGTTTCCCGTGTGCATGGTCCAATGGGCATTGGAGGCGAAGACTGGGACAAACGGCAGTCGCCGAGAGATCCGTCAAGACGTTGATCGATCCAAGGCTTGGAATTGGTCGCATGGACAAAAAGTAGCGATCGACAACTGAGAGAAAAGGTAGTATAAAGGTAATTTTAAAGGAAGCAACTCAGCTTCCAAAATATCTCCGATGTGACTTAATAAAGGAGGACGCTTTTAGCCGAATCGAAAACTTCTTCTTCATTCGCTTCATGAAGTTTAACTATCGACTGACTATTTGTTAGCTCATTCGTTAACTCCGTTAATGGGGGAGTCGTATTGATTAAGACCTGCAAGGGTTAAATGAGACACCAAGCCATCAACCACATGGTGCCACTAATGAGAATATACTAAAAAGCGCCAATGGGAAAGTACTTTTGAAGTACTAAGTAGTTCCATGCAGGATGCAGAATCAAACCGCGTTCCAAGATTGGATGAAGATGATACCATCTCGAGATACAGTACTAAAGATTACAGTAATCTATCATCCCGTGTCTGCATTGGTCTTGGGCCTTCAGGTACTGTATGTATTAAACGTACTGTATTGAACTGCCGGAGTATACCCACGCAAATAGCATCGTTTATATATTTATATTTTTATATTCATCTCCATTGCAGGGCATATTAAACTTATTGGTGCTAACTATAGTAATTGATAGATTAAATATCGAAGTCACTATTGAAGAAAATTGATTGCACAGATTCCACCTCTCCACTTGACCATGGCCTGTGCTTCGTGGAAGGACCACACAATATAAACATCGCAAATGCCGAGGTTGTTAGAGTACCCGATACTACTACCCATCTGTCTAAGTAGGCAGTACGGACATACAAAATATTAGTACATAGGTAGTAGACCCCCGGACGCTTTGTTCAACATCTAAAAATAATGAGCGATACCACTTGACCAAATTCGACGCACAGTTGAACCATCCGTGTAAGCTTATCTAATTGCATTGCATTGCACCTCTTCTGCATTCCTCACTTAAAGCTTCCAGGGTCTATACATATACACGTACATATACATGCATATATATATTAGTACATATATATATTTATTATGAGTCGCATTCAAAATCATGCTTGGTCCATCTTCTTGCGCACACGTTTCACCTCCTTTTCCACAGCTTGCATCTCGACCACCACACTCGCCAGCTCAGGCAAGGGACCCCCTACAGCCTCCGTGAACGATTTCTGAGCACTACGAAGAAAAGGTGGCACCAAGATACCGTACCATCTAATGGGGTCGGAAGAGCGGGGCTTCTTCTCTGAAGATCTAGGCTTTGTCTCTGCCGGCTCTTGCGCCCCAGGGCTATCCGATGAAGTTGTGGAATCCTCTGCCTTAGCGTCACTCTTCTTCTCAGGACCCTCACATTCCAACGTGGATACGTCACTCGAATGAGATTGGTTTTCTCCTCTAGTCAACTCAGACGGTTCCTCTGCACCATCACTTGTAGGTACTTTAATAGCGAATATGCGCTTAAACTCGCCGCGCTTGGTAGATTCATCGGATGATTCATTCACACTGGATGCCTCGACATTTTTAGTGGAGGATGTAGGGGGATCTAGGTCCCTGATGGCGTCTCGTTCATTAGCGTTGAATACCCTAAACGCCGACACGAACAGCGCATGACACAGCCCCAACTTACACCATTCTTGTTGCTTTCATACGTTCATCGTAGTAGTCTGCTCCATATCTCCGGCCTGGGGGACAGGTGTAGTTGGCTTGAGCGAGTGAGAGGAACCCCTAGACTCGTATTAGCGATCTGTCCTTCTTGAGCCTTGTACTTCCAACGTTGCTGTACCGAAGATAGAGTTGTGGCGAGTTCGGCCTGTAATTTCTGATGACGATCTAAGAGATGGAGATACCGTTCTAGAAGAGTGTCCAGTGACTGCAACAAGTCTGAGGTGTCAACTACTGGAATCTGTTTGTACTCGGTGTCGGGTGATTCTGAACCATGGCGAGACGCAGGAGGGGTGGGAATTTGCGCCATTGGGAGAACAAGATGAGATGGGAACCGGAAAAAGCCTGGGTTGACAGGAACCAACGCGAGGTTGTCAAATTACACGAGAGGGAAGCTTTAGATGATCTCCGAAACGCTTCTCCAAATTTATGGGGATCGGCCGAGGAGTCCGATAACTCCGTCATCGCGCCTCCGAGAAAACCAAAAGAATTTCCCGCGAACAAGTCATTCATCACCTCTACCGTTTATCGACCTCTCATATCAGGAAGCGACTCCTTATTTACTCATACTTGTCTGGTGATACGGCTGTACTCTCCAAGCCCTGAGTAGGCGCTATCCGACCTTCATTTCCCGCGGAAAGTGTGACTTTCCTCCCAACGCCACCTCCGGTTGCGGTGTTCATGGTGCTCAACACCTTGTGAATAGCTTCTTGGAATTGAGAATTATCACTTCGTTATCGGTTGTCCCGGTAATTTCCTGGTTGATCGTATTGTGATTGATAATCGATTTTATCCACTGTTAAAAACCCCGAGTTTTAAACGTCCGGGTTAGCGGCTTGAAGCGCTAGAGCCGAAGACAAATACGTCTTAGGATCTACCGAACACTATCCTATTGAGCCTGCGATTTTCTTTTCTCTGCTCACTATTGTTGTTATTTCCCCCTCCCTTTTGCCCTTAGCACTATCAAGCCAGTCATCATGTCTGTACCGGCATTACAGCGGGACACTGCCTTCCAGGTGCGATCTTTGGTACGTACTCCGGAGATGTTCCCCTGTTGTGGTGGGATTGAACTAACACTGTCGATTGGTTTTGGGTATAGTTTCGCTCCTTGCTCCGTCAGTCGTCCCAGTTTTCTAATTATAACTTCCGCGAGTACGCCCGTCGGCGGACGAGGGATGCTTTCCGTGAACACCAACGGGAGACGGAGGATAGGAAGATACAAGAGTTGATCCAGGATGGTTTACAGAATTTGCGGATGATGAAGGTCAGTGATGGATGTCTTTCTTGTGACAACGTTCAGATACCCCACCAGATCTTGCGATGTGGCTTTGTACTTTGGAATCGCTGACAAATACTTTAGAGGCAAACCGTCATCAGTCAGTTCTATCAAATGGACAGACTGGTTGTTGAAGGCCAGAAGACGGTTAGTAGAGCTCATTGATGCATCACCAATAGCCCGCCGGACGTGGAGCTCACTGACTTGTACAGGGTAAGCAAACTGGAAAGGAAGGGGATATTGTTCGCCAGAAGGATACTGGGTAAGACGACTGTGAGGCCCTCGTATTAGAGGCATACTAATATATGCTACAGTTGGGATTAATTGAGACTAAAAAGATCACGAACAAGCGGTTGACACACCACAGGAGGTTCGGGAAGAGACTTGATTTTTCTTTCTGATGGGGACAGAGAGGATGATGTGATCGAATCCAATAGACTCGAGGTGTTTCTTGTATTATTAATGAAACAGTTACATTGTAGGTAGCGCAGTCTCTTATCTTCTAAACGCCAATTCTTCTCTCAGCCTGCTTGTCATGCAGATCATAATGTACTTAGAGATGTCAATGTGAGTTGTAGTTAAGATCACGTGATGATATCGTTCCCTTTCCCGCGACTCCATCGCATCGCGACAGAGACCCCAACAACCCTTCCCAGTTGGGCTCATTAGCCAACGATCTCTTTCAATAGTCACGCCTCTTTGCTTCAGCCGCATAGCTAGCGGTATTGGGGTGTTTGGCATATTCCTCCTCAATCGGGTTGCGGAGGGAAGATCACAAAACCACTGTTCATCATGCCACCTACTGTAGGTTTCTCCGCGGTGACATCGCTATCGGCTACCCGAATCGTCCTCATATGCAACAGGGGGGCGGAGACTATATATTAAGGGCGATTGGTGTACTGACAGTCCCATAGTTCAGATCTTCACGCTCGGGTCGTCAATTCGGCGATGGCGCCAACCGCACTAGAACCGGCCAGATCGACCACGATGTCTTCGAAGGACTTCCGGTTCGACGATGGACGCGCCAGCTACAGACCGTTTCCCAAACCCCCAAGCTGGACGGACAGGAATCATTTGTGGAAGGCCCCGGCGGAAAGCAAACGATTCCAGAACACCCAATGCCCAAAGACAGCCATCTATTAACCCCGATGAGTAGAGCGCTCCTCCGTGCGGCCCGTGCGGGGTGCATATATATTCGCAAAGCCACAAAAGATACAGAGGACGAAGAAAAGGAGGTTACAGATGTGGAAGAACAACCGACCTTGCAGACTACAGAGCGTAGCTTTGTCACGCGCAAGTGGGCCACGGTTCCCAGGCATTTAGAGAATTCGGAGGTCGAATTTCTTGCTAAGAGACGACCGGGCTTGCCATCATTATATGGTGCCACGACCTCTGGTGCTAATGGCGCTGAGAATGGGTCTGCACCAATGAGGAGGACCCGCTTCAAGAAAGTTGACCCGACAAGTGGAAACATCTCTATCTACGAGGCCTGGGTGCCGGAAGGGCACAAGATTGAAGGAGAAATCACCGACGACTCTCAACTCGTACCAGAAAACAGCGAGACAATTGTAACACCCGAGGCCCCTGCTCCTGGCACAGTTATTGAAGGAGTTGGCGTGGTCAATGCAGAAGGCGTGGTTGTAGCAGATCCAGCCTCAGCGGCTGTCATGACTCCTCCGAAGAGGCGCCCGCCACCTCCTAAACGTAAGGCGAAGGGCTTCGGTAAAGGAAGAAGGAAGAAGGTTATGTTTGCTCCTGGTGAGGGAGCAGATGCAAACGCCGTACATGGAGCCGGCACTGGAGCTGTCGATGGCACTGCCGAAACAGGTTATGGTAAAGAGGGTGCTGATAGGTCGCGGATGTCAGTCGACCAGAATGGGCAGGATGAAGAAGAAGAAGATGGTGAGGAGGGCGAGGAAAGCGACGAGGGCGATGAATCAATGCTAGATGCTAAGACACCGGAGACACCGCTTCACCAACAAAGTGCAGAACCGACAACTGATCCAACGTCTGGATCTGTGGCGGAGCCAGTTCCTACTTCTACTGCACCCGCTACGGAAACTGTGGTTGCTTCACAATCACCAGCTCCAAACCCTCCAGCCGTTGCCTCAGAATCACCTGCGCAAGCACTCCCACAGCCACCTGCAGTATCCACTATGCCATTCGCACCACAACAGCCCTTCGAGCCTGTTCAGCCAAGTCCTAATCCACCAAGCTCTACTGTTCCTCCCGCAAAGTCAACTCAAGAAGTGACACCTGCTGAGGATGTGGAGATGACCGGTGTCAACCCAGAGTTACCCGCTGTGGATACCAATGCTGCATCCTTAATCCAGACAGCACCGAATACTCAGCAGCAGACAACTACAGAGATAATTGAAGCACAAACTGAGACAACCACGGTTGCAGTTCCCACACAACCTCAAGACGTCCCGCGGGTCACTGCACCGGACACATTCCCGCTCGTGAAGAGTGAAGATCCAACTGAGAGACCATTGGAGGTTCCTTCGATGGGACAGACTGACTCGGTAGCCCAAGCAGGCGTCAAGGATGAGAATGTGAAATTGGAACCCCTGGCTAGCCTTCCACAGATGCCGCCACCAGAACAAGCTCCTCAGCCAGAGCAGGCACTCCAGCCACAGCAGACTACTCAGTCAGGACAAACTCCCCACCCACAACCGACCCATCAGTTAGAAGACACCCCTAAGTCAGAACAAACCGCCCAACCAGAACAAGCTTCCCAGTCGGAACAGATTCCCCAACCCGAGCCAGCTCCGAATCCTGATCCGGCTTTACAGCAGCTCGACGCCCAGCCAGCCAGTGATATTGTGGAGAACAATGAATCCAGTCTCTTGGATAGTTTAGAAGCAAGTTTAGGACATGCTCCGGGCGCAGAGCAAGACAGTGAAGTTCAGTTCGGTGAGCAAACAGAAGCTTTATCTGACCACAACACCGACCATACCAGCACGGAGACTGCCCGGCAACCTACATCCATGCAAATAGACGTTGACACCATGGACCGGTCAACAGAGCCAACCTTGCAAACACCAGCGCCACAACCTGCAGAACCCATTGAGCCGGTGGCTGGCCAACCACCCAACCACGTCCCTGAAACTGCTACCGAAAATAGCGCAGAGCAAGCTGCAGAGCTCCCTATGGAACCTATGGAACAGCATATGCAGCCCCCGGTAGAGACATTGATAAAGCCATCAATAGAGCCTAATATCCAAGAATCCACGCAAACTTCTGTCGAGCAGCCAGCCGAACCTGACATGGAACCGACTGAGCCGAAAGCGGCGGAGCCGGCCCTAATGCAGGTGGAAGAACCACTTGGGGAGCCCCAAGGAGTACAACAACCTGAAGCACAACTAGAACCGACTCCACAGCAGAGCTCAGCGCAGGAAACAGAACCTGCTCCAGCTAATACTCCAGAACCCCCTGCAGCGTCACTCCCAGAACTACTGCAAGAAACACCCATCGAGCAGGTTCCACAGCCCACGGAGCAAGCAGTAGTGCAACCTTCCCCGGAAGCATCGGTGAAGCCGTCAATGGAACAAATAGATGAGCGACCCGATGTTTCTCTACCAGAGACAACACAGCCTCCGCAGGAGGATGAACCTGCGCCACCACAGCAATCGGTTGAACCCCAGCCACCCCGGGCTGCTACTCCACCTGCACCAGCCGGTACTGGAGATGCCCAGCCTAGACCCCTTGAGACCAGCGAAAGCAGTGAAACCCACGATTTTACTGCACCAAATTTCTCTCCAATATCTGACCTGAATCCTGAGCTTGAAAAGAAAGAGGGAACAGAAGCGCAGCCAAAAACAGGGGAGGCAGGAGAACCAGCACCCCCGGGACCTGACAATGTTCAAAACCCATCGAACTAATCTGCACATAACAACGTATATTCTGGCGGAGGTAAAAGATCTGTTGACTAAACTAGGATCCCTTTTTTTTTTTTTTTTTTTTTTGACTAGGCGTAAATCGGTGTACGGTATTACAATATGCAGGGAAGGGGATTTTTGGAATTTAGGACCAGGCATATTTGGATCCATCGCATGTTGTATCATAGGAGTATTCATAAGTCCTAACTTCGTGTAAAACCACACCACACCTCCCGTTCTCGTCCCCAATGACAACCCCCAAAAAGCAGGAGAGTCGCGTATCGCAGAGGCCGAGAGCGATTGAAAGCAAATTATGCCATTTAATACCGTGTGTAAGCTGTGAAACGCGATTGTAAAACCAGCCACTCGTCAGATGAGTGTAGAACATGGATAGGTACATACGTATATCCTCTCAACTAATTTCTTCACTGAATGGCTATCTGCCAGCTAGGGTTAACTGACTACTGAAGTAGGGTGTGAGCTTAGGAGAGAATTCTCCTCCTCCATCACTTTTTTTCGATGCAGATCTCTGGTTACTGTATCATGCTCAGGCTTGTGGAAGACTGAATTTACCAAGATATACCAAATATATATTATACTATATAACGCACACTTGCATTTCTAGCCCCCCACCGCCATGCCACAGGAATTGACGATCTTATTAGCAAAGTCAAGATTGATTCAGTTAATTAAGCCAGCTAGTTATAGACACATCGAACTAGACAACTGAACTTGTATCCCGTCGACTAACCAGCTAGGAAGTAACATTACAACAATAACACCGCTTCTGCAATTCAGGTCTCGTAGTAACACAGCAGAACATCAAAGCCAGTGAACAGGAGTATTGGACACAAGAAGAAAGATAGAATACCGTCAGACTATACCAACATCGGACCTAAAAGTCGATTGATGACGACGCAAAAGTTGAGTAATGGAAGCAAAAATAAAACATTAGGCCAAAATACAAGGGTAACTTATCATCAAGAGGGGAAGAGCTAGCAGGAATTGCCAATAAAGAAAAGGGGATAGCAAAAATGAGAGAAAATGGAGCAAGCTCCCAAGAAGTTAGAAGAAAAAGATAGCCGTGGATGGAGCTGTATTCACACAGTAAGTAGATCGGCCCAGGACGAAAACATCTGAGGTAATCTTATGTAGCCAATGAGCCCAATTTGATCATGCCTTGGTGCTTTTGGCAGCCTTGCTTGCTGCCTTCCCCCGAGGACTAGTCTCTTTGGCTTTAGAAGTACGCTTCGCAGGATTTTTGGGCTTGGTTTCTTCCTTTTTCACCGTACGTCTGCGAGTGTTCGTCCCCTTAGCAGCCTGGAGGATCTTCGCTTTAGTCTTCTCAGATGGACGACTTAGTTTAGATCTTGATGGGGTCGACTGGGTTTTGGTTGTCTGTGCCGGTTTCCTGGCACACGCCGGGGCTCTGGCTTTGGTCTTCGTAGTCTTGACCTTGGGCAGTTTAACTTCCTTCTTGGATTTGGAGTTATCTTTCTTCACTTGGCGTCGTGATGGAGTTGCCGTGTTTTTCTTGGTTGTTGTTTTGGAGGTCTTTGTGGTGACAGTCGCTTTCGAACCAGTTCTCGATGTTGTAGTTGCTTTGGAAGTAGAAGCGCGTGCTTTAGAAACAACCTTCTTCACACCAGACTTGATGGACTTCGAACCAAGAAGCTGTCGCTTATTGATGCGCGAAGTAGCCCCATTCAACACCTTCTGCTTGGTGATGCTGGCTTTTTTATTGTTATTCTTCGAACTAGATTTCTTCTCATTTTCAGCTCTCAGTTCCTTCTCCTTTGAACGCTGCTCTTTCTCCCGCGGCCGTGGTCCCAGGATACCACGGCATCTGTCCGATCCACATCGGCATTGCTGAACGTTTTTCTGAGAATATGGGCTGCAAGTAACAGGTCAGTCTCAACGATTCCGATTTACACAGTAAGGTGCCCTTACTCAAAGTTATAATCATAGGTCAGTTCTTCCCCGGTCATTATTCCCCGATCACCAGCAAAAAGCGCCATACGCGGTTTCCCTGCGACTGTCCACTTCTCCATCCGACAGTTGGGCTCGCAAGAATGGTTTACGAAACGAGCGATAGAGCCCCTGGTAGCATCGATGATCATGTTCTGATCAAAGTACATGAGGTAGTAACACTGATAGCGGTCAATACGTGGCTCGTTTAGCAGAGAACGCGTGGTCGAAGGATGCATACCTCGTTATTCTTATAAATCGTCCTCATTCGTTTTTCACATTCCGCTTGCGTTATGATCTCCCCTGTGTATTCCACGATGACCTGGTTAGGCTCGAATGTGCGGTTGCTACGAACGCCGTATCCTCGATCTTCTGTCTTGATGACTTCAACTCCAATATTGTATTTCCCGCCAGCTTTGGTTCTCTGCTTCAGTTCCTCGAAATTCCGATTTCCACACTGGGGGCCTACACCACAATTGCTGTCGTCACATTCGTAGAACATGTAACGGTTTTGACATTCCTCGTCACAGCCAGTCTCTTCCGCACACATGCACTTGGATAGCTCCAATGGCTTGTTTGCTCGCCATATACTGGATGCTTCCCCGACAAAGACATCTATTCCACAAGTTAGCCATCATCGCGAGATTCTACTGCTGGTAATCATACTCTTGTTTGTCTTTCTCCACTCATTCGGTTTGGGCTGACCCGAAGGGAGCGGGGAAAAGATATCAAAGGGGAGCTGGAAATCTCTTCCCTGCTTCAGTAGTCGATCCCCTGCAAACATTGGCATAGGAAGCAGTCTGCGTTGTGTGGGACCTTGACTTCTGCGCTTTGCATTTCTGTTCCTACTCTGCAATGGCCGCGACTCAGTGTGTTCCTGGCCTGTGTACAATCCATGAGCTAACCAGCGCTTTGTCTTGGATCGAGTCACAGGCTTAGGAGCCTCCTGCACGACGTCTTCATTTTCCTGGATTTTGACAGGTAGATCGCCTTCAGAAACACGCCTCTTTTTCGCCGGGGGAGCCTCGCTGGCAGCCTTGGCCGGTTCTTCCTTGGGGGCAGTGATTCGAGGTCGCAGACTGGCCCGACGGCCAAGTTCTTTACCCTTTCCCATCACGTCACGCGAGCGTTTGCCCAAAACGCTGCTAGCCCGGCCAACAAGGTCTGAAGCCTTCTCTAACAGACTCAAACGAGACGAGCGTCTTACTGGCGACTTGCTTTCTTTAGCCGTTACAGTAACTTTGCCCATATTGTTGCCCCCTTCCTCAGTCAGGATCCGTTCTACGCGCTTCCGTAAAGTGCGTTGTTGCAATGACGTGCTCATGTCACTGGCCTGCAGCTCTTGCGAGGACTTAGAAACTGGAGTATCTGGGGCCATTGGATGGTCCCCTTCAGTCTCCATATTGCCTTGTGTCAGTGTTGCTTCGCTCCAGGACTCCATGACCGCTATGCTGTGGCGTAGGTGGGAGGCCTGGGACCTTTTCCCACCCTCAGCTTTATCGAGCAGAGTCTCACCCGAGACCGCGGGGTTATTTTCGCCAGCCGTAGACAAAGTCCCTTGGTTATCTATCTCCATGTCGCCGTCGAGTTGTGCCCCCCCCCGTAAAGAGGCGCGTGTTACACGTGTAGATCTTCGCCGTACAGTCGGCTTTTCCTCGGTAGACGCGTTCTCATTGTTGCTGGAAGTCTCCGAGCGACTGTTCTCGGGGGTGAGGAGTTGTTCTGGATACTCAAAGGCCATTGTGTCGTCGATGGGCTCGTGCGTGTGCTTATTGAGGTCTGAAAGGGTTGCGGGAGTCGCGGGAGGCGCGCCGGCTGATCTAAGTTGACTTTCCATCGCAAGGCTCTCGGGATTGATTTGCGGTGAGTATTTGAGGCTGCAGGGGAAGGGAGGCGGCCTGGACGAGTGAAACGATAGTGCCTTTGAGGGTCTAATGCGTCAAATAAAGAGGGCGACCGAGATCCGGCTGAGCTGACCTGATTTCCCAGTACGGGGTCCGAGGTGATTGCCTCTTATCAGGAGTGACTGTGTTAGGGCCTACACCTTGAGGATCATATTAGAAACTCAAAGAAGGGGGCTCTGACGCGCAACTTCCGACTGGAAAATGGCGGCGAGAAGGCCGACTTGAGGGGCACGGGCGTGGTATGAAGAGGGAATGGGGGAGAAGAAGAGATGCGGAGAGGGTTGAAGAAGGCCGTATCGCAGGCACGGCGGAATGCAGAACCAGAAGGGAAGCGAGACAACCAGCAGGACTGAAATTCGGCCCCACGCATAAATTTCCCCCCGGGGGGTAAGCAAGAGTAACACTAGATGTAACTGGAGTCCAATTGTTTGGTCTCGGACCAGTGCAGGCGCCACTATCTACACCCTTCCCATCCATTCCATTCTGATATTGCCCATTCCCCATTCCCATCCATGCGCGCTTACCATCAGCTGTCATGGCACCTCCCCCGCTACATGCTCTGCGATCTACTACATGTCATTTTTGAATCTGGTTGGATTAATTCACAGTCTATCTGCAGCTTGGGGTTTCGGTATCAGACAAAATATCCCTCGTATAACGTAATCTCAGAGCCTAAACTAACAATGGCCTCACAGTAGGATTCTTCGAAACTGATAGAAGAAAGAAAGAAAGAAAGAAAGAAAGAAAGAAAGAAAGAAAGAAAGAAAGAAAGAAAGAAAGAAAGAAAGAAAGAAAGGATCCGAGTCACAAGAAGGAGAGTGTGGAAGAAAGAATACATGAATAAAACCAAAGACGCTTGACTCAACAATGTACATAGATCGCCTTGAAAGATTGGTATGAGAAGGAGGGAGACAAGAAGATATGCCTATTCATACATGTAAGAAGAGGCTAGATGAACCCCAAAAAATAAACAAAAGAGAATGATGAAGGACCGTAAAGCCATTAATATTTGAATGTATCCTTACAAGAAAGAAACTAATGATGGCTGACGCGTGGAGAAAGGTAGAAGAAGAGCCCTATCTATAAGAATGGTGCCAGGTGGGGTGCTCCATGGAGTATTCGAGAGTATCGTTACAGACCTCAGTCCTGCGGCTGGCCCGAAGGGACATGCTGCATCTCTATGCCTGCTTGGGCTTCAACATCTCGCGGAAGGTATTTCCGTTTCACCATGCTTAAACGTTGGTCACCCTCGTGATATGACTTCTTGAATTGCATGTATGTCGGGGGCCGTGGTCGCCCAAAGACGGATATCCAATTCTTCAGGATATTTCCTTGAGTAAAAGGCCGATGACGATCCGCTTTCACAAACTTGTGGGAATTTAGATATTCCCTAGTGGTCTCCCCCCGGCCAACCAGAAATAGGTGGTAGGCCCAGAGAGAGGCTGGATAAGGAGCCGCAACGGCTCCGTAGAGGACCATAGCCCAAGGCACTCTCCACTTATCGATCGCATCATTGAAAGAAACGCCCTCTCGTGATCGATATACGAGGATATGTGCCAGACTTGCGCCGATTAAAAACAAGGCGAGGAGTGTGGACGAGCCCACAAAAGTGAAAAAATACCGATAGTTGCGGCGGCCAACACAGTTGTTAAGCCAGACGCAATGGTGATCAAGTGTTTCGATACAGTTGTCGCAGACACGGCAATGGTAGCAACGCGGAGGTCGCCAGATATTGCAGGTTTTGCAGAATTTCACTGGCACGTCCATTGCTGCAACCTCAGAGGTCGCCAACTTAACCATCACCCAGTCATTCGTTGGTGGACCTATCGCTAGTGGATCGTCCGACGGATCTGGTGGTGGCATCGAGTGAAGATTACGAGGAATGATCTGACATAAAGGAATTAGCGACAAAAGGCATCGTGCCGTATCTTGGAGCTCTTCTTACCCCGGGGTCAACGACAGAGGCGTGCAAAAAGGAGGAAAAGCATAGGTAGAAGAGATAAGCGAACAATATGGGAATAGCGGGTGAGATATTGTGCCAAAGCCAAGGTGCCCTGCGCAAGGTCAGCACTCAATTCTTTGGGCAGCTTGACTCATATCGGAAGGTATCTTACGAGAACCCAAAGAACAACGCTGATGGCACAACTACCAATACCCCAGTCGCAACATTGACGGGCTTGTCCCGAGAGTTTTGAAACCTCCCACCACCACAGAAAATAGTGTTGCCAAGGAAATACTCATAGTTCTTGCCCAGACGGCTCTTGCTTACCGTTCGGCTCTGTTTCTCAATAGATCCGGGGGACGAACCGGCTGATGACAGGCGCTCATGATTCCGACTATCACGATGCTCTTGGCCGCCGTTTCTATTTGGTGGGGATAAGAAAGAAAGAGGAGATCTTTGGGAAATGTCATGACCACTCTGGTTAGTAGCGCCCACACCCGAATTGAGATGAGGTTGAGAAGGTTGGTTATATCTTTCTTTATCACGTAGAAGTTTAGCACTTTCGCCTATACTTCGCGCTGTTGTATTACCGATGGGACTGGCGTTTGATGTGTTGCGGTCAGGGATAATAGGATCTGTGAATTCCGTGCCTCGAGATGGAGGAGCCTCCTGCTCCTGTGGGACAGAGCTTTGAGCAAGCGTACTGTTGGATATTAAACTGCGCCTATTTTGACTTGCGTGATCACCCCAATCTTCTGATGATTCTGTTCCTTTGGTCATAGGGCGTCCTCGATGCGCTTGGAGTCGCTGAGAAGATAGGGGCCGAAAAAAGCCTTGCGCTGCCAATGAAGGAATGTGGCTCCGGCTCAGTCTGCTATTCGAGCTTCCTGGTCGGTTTGTTGCTTGGCTGATAACAGAACTTCTCACAGGGGGAGGACCGGGCCTACTAGATACAGATGGCCGTGACCGGTGCGGTGCGTGAGAGGAGATTCCGGTATTTGATTGCGACTGATCACCATCCTCAGAAGCCATATCTTCCGTGACCCGAGATGAGATACCTCCCACGGAAGGCGGGCGAGGAATACCTAGCGCATGTTGCGTGGGCCCTGGATGTGGCGCATCACTCGTTTCTGAGTTGGCTGACGAGAATGCCATGACGTTCTAGATGAATAGTTGTTGTGTCGCTAGCAATTAATGCTGAATGACATGTTGTGGCTAGACGAAGGAGAGGGATATTGAGAGTGATATAATATAATCCAAGGGTCGCTGTAATCGCGCGAATATCAGAACGGGGATAAGAGTTGGTCAAGGAGTGACAGCGACAACGAGAGGGAAAGAAATAGGAAAAGGCCGAGAGTATGGTCAAGTTAAAGAATGTAAGCAACCTAGAATCATGACTGTCAGTAAGCCATGTACGATTTTGATGTGAGGAACGGGGCGCTGAAGATAACCTCCCTATACGATTTGACAATAGGGATTCCGAACAGCACGAACCTTTAAATAGAGTTGCGATCGACTGCAAAGCAGCTAACAAGCCAGTTACATCACGACAGCGATGTTAACTGCATGCTGTGCAATCCAAGAAAGTTGAAGGAAGGGACAGCAAAAGACACCCCTCGCCTGTCCAACGGCGTGCACGAGCTATCGCATTCGATGCGATCCCCTACTTGGCCCAATCCCCATCTGGTTAGGGTCAGATGGCTAGCCGGCCCTGACTAAGCGTCGGGAGCTGATGGGCCAACGAAATGTCACCTGATGTGATGCGCCGGCAACATCATCGTCCGACACCCACGCATTCTCCCACCTCTCTAAAGAGATCTCCGGTTTACCTCACCACCTTCTATACCTTACAACCACCAAAATGTCGTCAATTACCGCTATGGCCTCCCGCCGGGCCTTTGCCCGCCAGTCTGTTTTCCGGGCCCCCGCCCGCCGTTTCTACAGCTCCAAGTTGGAGGAGGCCAGCCTTGACAAGGCTCCTCGTCGTGACCCTGAGCTTTACGTACGCAACTACTTCCGTTGGGTCAATTGGGCTCCTGGGATCGAACTCTAACCTCATATAGGTCCTGCTCGGTGTTATGTCCGGTGCTTTCCTTGCCGCTGGATGGTGAATACCCTTCCCCGTACCGACTTTTACAACCCACGACCGGCCGCAAAAATTCCCCAATTGCACGTGGAAGCGAAACAGAATACTAACCATTCTTTCTTCATGACAGGTACTTCGGCAAGAAGCCCACCTCCGTGACCTCCGAGAGCAACGTGCGCATTGGCGACAGCGCCATGCCTTGGGAGCGTGAGGACGACGGCAAGGTCTACAAGTACCAGTACCACCCTCACGGTGACAAGAGCCAGCCTCTCAGGAACGCCCCCAGCGCTCTGAACACTGTTATTGTGCCCAACGTTACTCTGCCGGCTGTATGTTCCATCCCCACCTTGCTCCAGGATACATTTTATATATCTGCTTTCGCGATGCTTGAGAGAGAGAGAGTAGCTACTAAAGTAACCTTCAGGACCTCCACGAGCGCTACAACAAGTACGGCAAGGAGGAATGGGATTACTAAATGGTCATACAGCTACATAGAAGGCTATTAGGGGGGTTGGTTGAGGGGCATCTCAACACCAGTCGCTGTATACTAAAATTGCTGTGAAGAGTAGAGAAGCGTTGTGCATAGTACATCTTGACGGGAATCAATTGAGATACTTTTTTTTGCATTACAACCAGGAGCTTCTGGGTGATTGGTGGTATACGGTAGGCCATCGACCATGTGGGAAGTAGTCATGTACAAAGTCACATTTCGTTAGATCAAAGAGGGATAAAAAAAATTAGTCTGTGGAAAGGAAGTACAAGAGAAGAGGATAGTCAAGATTGGCGATTGTTAAAACAAAAGGAAGAAAATTCACGGTAGCAGAGCGCAAAAACCCAAGATGCCTCATTTCCGTTCACTTGTCAAGATGTTAGTCAGTCGCCTCGTTTCCTTCGCTGGCGGGCTTTGCTTCGGGAGAACTAGGCTCTGCAACAGAGCTTCCCCCCGCGACGGAGGCTGGACCATCATCTGCAGCTTGTTCCTGCTTCCCAAGAGTCTCGGGATTCTGACCCTCGACGTCTGGATGCGGCGGGGCTACTTGACCATTGATCATTTCGACCTCATGGCCGTGCTCCAAGCGCGTGCGAGTCTCATGGCGAGTCTCAAAGGATACCTTGCCCTCCTTAGCAAGGGCGGCAACAAGCTTCTCATCCAAAATATTGCCATCCTGATCACGATATTCAACCCGTGCCTTAGCACGAGGCTGCTGGGGCTCCGGGGTAACATTAGCGTCATCCGCTTCTTCCTGGAGAATTTGTTGGTCTTGCTGTGGTGGAACGGCCACAGGGGCCTCAGGAGGAGGTGCCTGCGTTGTTGGCACAGCGACATTGGTATTTGTAAAGTGGGTCACATATTGGCCAAGCTAATGTTTCCTTGTCAGCCGTCGTGATGCGACACAGCTAGTAGCCTCGTCGGGGAGGTTGCCATTTCGGAACACTTACGTCAGTATGGAAAGTGTTACAGTCGAAGTCCCAGGTATCCAAAAGTTTCACCTTGCGGCAAGCGTCTTGAGTCCAGGGGTTGCCATAAACCAAAGGAGAATAGAGAGTGAAAGTGAAGATGCTCAATGCAAGGAAAATACCAGCTAACGCCTTGCCAATGGCAGGCCTGGAGGCTAGTCCAAGAGCATGAATACGGTTGGCAAGGAAGTCGAATTCTTGACACAAGGTCATAATGGCAAAGTAAAGCGCTGGAAGATAATGATGGAGAAAGAGCTGCCGGGCCATAAGGTAGAAGGGAAAATAGTGGAAGGCCCATCCCAGGACACTCGTGCCAACTTCATAGTCAAACCTCTTGAAATTGACGTTCCGATAGTCGACACAATTACGTTGCCAGCGAAGAATGGAGATTCCCTTGAATAGTACATAGACGCCAATTGCCAATGTCGAGGACCACCAGATAAGCGGGTTGCCAAGGAGGTAAATCTGGCGATGATCTGTGCCCCAGAAATTGATGCCGCGGAGCAGCGTTGGCCACGACGGGGGTCGCGAATCCCAAGCATGGGACTCCGTCAATCCGGCGTTGGTCGTCCACATCACCTTCTGGAGCTCCCAAAACTTGCCCAAAAACCCGGGGTTTCGATAATTAACCTTTTCTGCATCCGCCGGTAGCATTGGATGGCTGTTAGACTCGATGTACCAGACACTGTTGGGCAAAGTGCCTCCCTTCGCGCAGGTCACCTCTTGCTGCTCCCAACCCCAGTCGGGAAGTTTGACTTTGTGAGAGAACAGGACGCAACCGGTCATGACGTGCACCAACTTGAATTTGGACTGGATGGTCCTCAAGCGCTTCTTTGCTTCTTCACCCTCCGACATCGACTTGACGATTTCTACGCGGAACATGTCATTTGCGTCACCAGCGAAGCCCTCGAACCCATAGGCAGATACTTCATATTGCCAATCCACTTCGGTCACGGGGGGCCGCTCGTCGTGCGAATGAACCCTTCTCTGAGTCATCAAGTGGTTCAATCTAATGATAGCACCATCTTCAATATACTCGGCGGTAATGTTATCCCAGGCAAAAGGGCCCGCGATTTCTCCGTCGGGACCAAGAGGTTGAGTCTGATTCTCAGCAATGAAGATGTTGTTTTCGTCCTTATGGGGATAGAGCGTAATCTGCTGTTGTTTGCTTCCTGTGGGGTACATGTGGTTGTGAGAATGAAGGTAGCCACCCTGCGTATTGTGGTGGCGGAGACTGATACGGGAACCGAAAGCAACGTCAGCGGGAACATCTTGCATCGCCTTCGAATTTAATGTAGCCTGGAACTCAGATGACATAAACCCATCGCCCTCACCCGGATTTACCAGACACAGGAAATGGATCGCAAACATTGCACAGTAGAAGCCTAATGGAATGACGATGAGGCAGAAGAACCGAGCAAAGAAATGCTTAAACCACAAGCGCTACAAGAACATCAGCTGATAACCAGGCAAGATTTGAACCCCAGAGCACATACCGGAGTGACATTCTCTGTATCTCCGAGGAGGACCCACAGTTGAATGATGGTTAGAGAGCCAACCCAAGCAACTGTGAAAAGGCCAACCCATTTGACACTTAAAGTAGCACCAAGACATAGGCCAGAAGCAGCCAACCAAAACCACCAGGGTCCACGGAAGGCGTGCGATGGGCCTAGTTCTTGCTGGTTTGTAAAAGACGTGAATGACATGGCCGTAAGCGCAGTAAAGAACACCAGCGGCGAGTCTAAGAGGATCAGACGAGACTGGGTGACCAGGGCGTTCTCTGTGAAGTGGTTAGCGCGTGTGGTTGTCTAGCACGAGAAAAATAGATCAGCTCACCAAATATCACCACACCAGCACCTAGCACAGCAGTCGTGGTGCGGCATCCTGATGCTTTCAACGTCAAGAACATCAAGGACACGGTAAGCACACCCAAAATAGCTGGGAGCATTCGCATTGCCACATATGGGACTCCTGCTTCTAGATAGTCCTTTCCGATTTCCTTGAAATCGAAATTGCCATCGAAACCGGCCAACCAACCCGCAAGTGTAAGGAGAAGTTTGGCGAGTGGTGGGTGAACATCCATGAAAAAGCGACCCTTGATATATTTTGATGCAAAACCACCGAAACTGTGCGTAAAATGATTAGCCCAATGCGGGTCGTCTCGCGCGATCACAGAGGTATTAGGACATACTGGACTTCGTCGAAGACAACGCTTGCCGGCTGATAGATTCTAAAGAGACGGACAGCGGCAGCGACCAAGGTGACGAGAACCAGGGCCTTGTAGTCGGACGTAGGAAGGCTGAAGATACTGTTGTCCTTAACTCCATCTGAACCATAATTCAGCGTCTCTGTGGGTGCCTTCTTGCGATTTTTCGGTCTCGGGGAGCGACTCGAGGAGCGGGTAGATTTAGTTGGAGGCTGAACCTCCAGGGCGTTCTTGGATTTGGGCGGCATTTTGGCGCCAATGGGGGTAACAAAGACAGAGATCGGAAAAAAGATACAGTATCCAAAGATTTGAAAAAGGAACGAAGACCATCAAGAGATATCACAGATATGCGAAGAGAGTAAGCACGAGCTATGGAGGGCTCTGACTCCAGATGGAGCTTTCAATAACCCCACGCCGAGCAATGAAGCCAAATAATAAATGAGGACAATCAATCAACGAGAGTAGTAGGTTAGGAGACTATACGCCATGACAGAACAGACAAGAAAAAAGAAAACAAATAATTAGAAAAGATACATTGACCGTTGAAGAGGAAGACAACACGTGTGGGACAAATTAGGAGACAAATGAAAGCGGTAGTCCGGTTTAAGGCCAGATCGTCGGCGGACAAGGACTTTGAGGTTGGAGTTCACTAGCTGGGAAGCTAACAAGTCACGACGGAGTTCCTGGTTTTGGCATTCCCCACGAAAACAGCCCCTAAATCATACAGGAGAGCATAACACAAACCCTTTTGTCCAATGTCTCGAAAACCAATCTTAAACAGAAAATAATCCCCATTGTATTATGCAATTTAATTGATTGCATTATCTCCAAAGGGGGTTTCAAGCAATTACTCGTTAGTACTACGGTTCCCCCCCTCCCCACCAATAAACGACTCAACTCGAACTAGCGCGCGGCTAGTTCAACCGCCGCGAGCCCCAGTAGCCGCGCCCAAGATGAGGTAAGGCAAGCAAAAGAAGAACGCCTGTCGCTGCTTTTCCACACCCCCAGGTTATCATTTGCATCCCCATTCACCATCGGCTTGACCTGTGTCTTGAACATGGCGTCTACAAGCAATGGAAATACTCCAAACCTGCCGGAGGAGGTGAGCAAACCCCCGGAGGGTGTCGTATTGCCACCCAAGGATATTCGAGGTAAGTTTCACCATTCTGCTCAAATTGAGAAAACCATTACTTACATATGCACAGCGATCGTGGAGAAGACCGCAGGTTATGTTGCAAGGAATGGTATTGTCTTTGAAGGTGAGTTGCCAAATGCGCCAGGGGCCTTTCCTGGATCGGAAAAACTGACCAACAATTGTCAGATCGTGTACGCGATAAGGAACATAACAACCCGAAATTCTCATTCCTTAACCCAAACGATCCTTATGCGAGCTTTTATCAGTGGCGACTTACGGAAATCAAGGAGGGCAGGGGAACTTCTGTGTCTGCAGGACGACCGGGCGAGCCAGCTGCAGCTCCTGAGCCGGAGGAACCTACGGGTCCCGAACCGCCAACAGAGTTTCACTTTTCGGCGCGGATGCCGATAATCAACGCGCAAGATCTGGAGGTTGTTAAGCTTACGGCTCTATTCGTGGCCAAGAGGGGGAAGTCGTTCATGACAGCCTTGTCCCAACGAGAAGCCAGGAATTTCCAGTTTGAGTTTTTGCGCCCGCAACATAGTCTATATCAATTTTTCACACGACTAGTCGACCAATATATCATCTTGCTGCGATCAGAAGGACTTGACCAGGCGACGTCCGAAAAAGCTCGTCTAGCAGAATTGGAGCATAATGTGCAAAACAAGTATCATGTTTTGGATCGCGCTAAGAAGCGCGCCGAGTGGGTGAAATACCAGGAACAGCAGAAGCAGAAGAAAGAAGAGGAGGAAGAACAAGAACGCATTGCTTACGCGCAGATTGACTGGCATGACTTCGTGGTTGTTGAAACCGTGCTATTCACAGAAGCCGATGACCAAGTTGACCTTCCCCCGCCCGCCTCTCTCAACGATCTCCAATCTGCTTCTCTGGAACAGAAAGCTATGATGTCCCTAAATCCTCTCCGCATCGAAGAAGCCATGCCGACAGAGGAGGAAACACCGACATATTACAACGCCTACCCGGTCCAACCAGAGCCAATGCCCCAGCCAATCGTCCAGCCGGCTGGGCCAGCATTCCCTCAAGTACAGCCTCCCCAACCCGTCCCAGTTGCTGCTGCCGCGGCGCAGGATGAAGAGCAGCGTATCCGCGAGCGGATGGAGGCTCGCGACCGTGCCGCTGCAACTCAAGCGGCTGCCAAAGCCGCCCCAGGTCAACAACCGATGCGTATACGCTCCGACTATGTACCACGTGCGCAGGCGCGCCGTCTCAACCAGTCTGGGGCAACAGCACTCTGTCCCAACTGTCATCAACAGATCCCAGTTGCCGAACTGGATCAACATATGCGTATCGAATTGCTCGATCCCCGTTGGAAAGAGCAGCGTGCCAAGGCCGAATCCCGCAGTGCTACAACCAACCTGTCAACCGCCGACGTGGTCAACAACCTCAAACGCCTCGCCAGCCAGCGCAGCGACGTCTTCGATTCGACAGTGCTTCCAGACGCCCCCGACCCGGAAGAAGAAGCGAGGAAAAAGCGCATGGCGTTCGAGAGTGCCCCGGGCGCAGGACCTACGCCGCCCATGGTCGGTCCTGCTGGTGGCCCACCCAATCCTCAAAACATGAATATCGAAGAACAGATCAGACATCTTCACGAGCGTTACCGGCAATGATCGAATATCCGTTGGGTCTTTTGGTGATTGGACCGTTCATCGGCGTTTTTCATCTGGAGTTATCGGTCTTCTTTCAAACCATTCTTATCCTATTGAGATGTACGTCTAAGCAGATGTAAAATATCCTTTCTGCCTGCTTATATTTGACGATTGTTTTATTAAATTTCGTTCCAATATTCCCAGGCGGGAACTCTACAATAGTAGATATCTATACCAAAATGCCATTCCTCAGTATGAGTTTCTAACACCTGACCTCACGGTCTGTATGTAGTAGGCTCTAATCTAGCCATCCTCAAAGCACTGCCTTAAAAACGATCTCTGTTTCTTGTAACCTCCCCCAGCCGGGCTGTATTCTAGCTACTATAGGTGAAACCTCAAAAGCCATGTATTATCAGAACCTCTATACCTTATGTGCATATAACCATGGGCCTACATGCCCCTGCATCATCCCTTACATTAGAACCGTGGACGTTTCCATCGCCATGTATATCGCATGAAAGAAACACCCGTAAAGCAACCAGCAAAGAAAGAGAACACCTGAATAAGACGCCAGCGAGCATGGATAAAACGGCATAAAGATGAAACATGTCAAGTGGACCCAGCCTGTCCGTCTGGATCACTGTCGATGGTTGAAACACAGAATGACCATTGCGGTCTAGTGGCGCTCAAAAGCAGATCAGACAAAACTGAGTGGTAACAATGAGGGAGAAAAAAAAAAAAAGAGAATAATAAGCTTAAGTATGCACCAAAAAAAGGACAAAGAGAAAAAAAGCATTAGGTACATATTATCAATAATAATACAAGTCTCAACAGATTCAAGACAGCTCCGTGAGTGGTCGAAATATAACCAGTGAAGAATTAGGTATCGGTTGGAAGAGAATCAGTGTCAAAGGTAATATAGAGGGAAAAAGTAAATGGGGATAATGTGGAAAAGGAAAAATATGTCGTGGTCTCCTAGACATTACTGCTGGCGGTTCTGAGCTGCAGGAGTTTGCGCATCATCTTTTTCGCAGCTGGTGACAGCAGCCTGGCTGACGGCTGGCTGAAGCACAATTTTGGGGTCCTCGTTATCGCCAGAGTTGGCAATCGTGCAGGCTTTTGCTTGCTCAATGGGCTGTTCGAAAATCTCGTCTTTGCCATATTTCTGATCTTCGCTGTCATCATACGGCGCTGAGACTGCCGTGCTGCTAACTGGAGATGCTGAGGCAGCAGACTCAAAAGGATCATCACTCAAAGACGCTCTGCGTGGGTCGTGATCGTTCAATTCATCGTCATCATTGCTATTCGTGGCTAGGACTTCTTTGACCTCACGGGAGATATCGCCTTGGTTGTCGCTATGGCCGATAGCCACAGGCTCTGGGTTCTGTTCATTGGCACATGTATGACCTTCCAAGCCATTAGGTTGTGCGAAAATGGGGACAATACCACCCCCAATGCGGGACCAGAACATTCTCTCCCTCAAACGAACTGTTTCTTCCCAGGCATCCTTTTCGTCTTCCGTGTCGCCAGCACGGATATGCGAGTCAAGGATAAGACGGAGATAGCCAGTGAATTCGCAGGAAGAACGAACTTTCTCTAGGCAGAGGACACATAAGGGGTATCGTTGAGCCGTCTCACTATCGGACGTCCGGAAACGGTGGGTTCTCTCATTGACAGGACCCGGTCTGCGCTCACCACAAAGTGAGCAAGGGAATTCGTATTTCTTCGCCGATGCCGGCATGGGCTCGACCACAAGACTTCCGTCACAAATACCACTCAGGACCGAACGTCGTGTCAGCCACGAAATCCCAGGGGCTGCATCAAGCCTGAGCGTTGGCTCGATATCTTCGTTCAGCACACGCTTGTAGAAACGCGTTTCCTTCAGAGGAGCATGCGAATTCGCTGGTTGCGGCGAGGAGATACTTCCATTAGGAGAGTGGGGTTGGGATTTAGCGGGTGACGACGACGCAGATCCAAACCCACCACTGCTGAAACCCGCGGCTAAGCTCATAACATTTAAGCCGGTATACGATCCACTCGTGGCACGGCTGGGCGGTTTGGAGACGCTAGACAAGGTGAATAATTCCTTAAACTCTTCGAATGCATGGATATCTGTTCGACATATAGGCCGGATCAGATGGGGGAAACTAGTGGAGGGACCTGGGACTAATTCTTCTTGGATGGGGGCCGGTTCTGAAAGCTCGGGTGAGTCCGCACTTTGTTTGACGATTGTTGGAGTCTGCTGCTGCTGCTTCGCCGGAGATGCTGATGCGGTAGACCCAATCGTACGGGCCTCGATGTCATCTTTGGTAATGTTCATCTCCTGCAAAACAGACTTGAGTTCTGCCAGTTGCTCTTGGTGGGACGCAAGTAAAGATTCAGTATCTTTTACTTGAGCACGCAACTGTTCGTTTTTCTTCTCTACCGCCTCACGCTCAAGCTTAGCGGCAGCTACCATCTGTGGAAGAACGAAGTTAATTCTTTGCTCATTCTAAAAACCAGATAGGATGATCATCGGATATTTTACCTTGTTAGCTTCTTCGAAGAGGGCGGCGGTAAGCGTCTCGAGCTCTTGCTCAATACCCTTCTTCTCTTTTTCGACAAGGGCGCGCTGTGCCTTTTCGTCTGCCAATGCAGCCTTTAGTCGTAAGATCTCATAGTCTATGTCGGCTTTCTTAATCAGGACTTCCTGATCGATATCCCGCCGATATTTTTCGTTCTCCGACTCTAGGGCCCGGATCTTGGTCTGAGCTTGTTCGAGTTCCTGACGGGTGGCAACCAATGTATCGTCCAGGGTTGTTTGATTGTTGATTGCCTGGACCAGTTTCACGCTTAAAGCAGCAACTTCGTTACTCAGGTCCGGATGATGGGATGGTGACCCCGATGGCTCTGTCTCTACTGGACTGCTCAAGAGTCTCGGGTCTTTCAGGGTACTGAATCCACTCTCCGGAAAGTTCCCAACACTTGTTGAGCGCACCGCTGGCACGGGTTTACCGGCTGCGACTCCGGAAAGGTCATTTGCCGACCTGGCTTTCGTAAGGGTCCTATCGGGGGAAAGAGCCCTGTTGTCGGAGGAATTGGATCGCTTGTGGTTGTTGGTACGCGGAATCATTGTCGACGGGGAGAGGAAGCTATGGCGTGAATAGTAGGTATGGAAAGCAATTAGACTGTTGACAGGATTTAGGAACTGAATCTATACTTGGAAAAATGACATCAACGTACTCGGCCATGGTGGTGAACGGTCGGGTTAAAGTTTTAAAATTATACGGAAAGCACGGAGACCGGAGATAGGTGTCACAACCACGTAGAATTCAGTTGGTCCGTCTTTCTCAACTAAAATGTACCGGGCAAAGTAAAAAGAGAGCGTTGGGATTGTTCTGCATGTAGCAGTGGAAGTAGGGGGGTGTCACGGTAACGCAATCCCCGCCAGCGCGCAGACTGGAGCGTGATTAACCGGTCGGCAGTCGAAGCATTGAGCCTGATAAAGGATCGGGATGGTGATCGGAAAGGGAACGGAGAGGATTGGCGGAGAATAAAGAGAGTGAGGTTGTAAAGGATAGACTGGAAGGGGAGAGAGGGGAGACGATGTTAGGGAAGGCAATCCAGTGGGTATGAACAGTGACGAAAGAAGGGCGTCGTCGGAGAAAGAACGAAGCAACCCCTCTTTTTTGAACGACTGAAGGAATCGATCGCAAGTTGAGAGCAAACGGATCGAAGCAGCTTTAGTTTAGTCCGCCGGGGTCACTAACTAGTTAAAGAGGAATTTGGAAAGATGGTTGGTTCAATTTGCTTGCAGAGGCAAATCACGCCGGCGCTTAGTCACCTGCGATCCGGATTGGGCCAAGCCGATCGCCTCGGTCACGTCCCCTCATGTCACGGGCAAAAAAGTTGCCTGAATGACGACGATCAGGTGCAAAATTGGATACCTGAGTCGGGGTAAATCAAGCTGCAGCAAGTTGGTTGTTGATCAGCTGTTCCATGGCTGGGGTACCTGTTCCTAGGTACATACTGTACATACTCAAGTACAGCCGCTACGTGCCACGTTCCCATCCGATCTCTCGGCTCACCCACTCCGGATAGTTTTCCTGTGCCGTGCGCGAGATCTAACGCGTTTGCCTTTTGCGTTTTTTTAAAGGGGCTAATTAATTAAAAACCGACGCGATTCCACTTGCCAACAAGAGAGAGGAGAGAAAAAAAAAAAAAAAAAAAAAAAAAAAGAAAAAGAAAAAGAAAAAGAAAAAAAAAAAAAAAAAAAAACAGCGTAAATTGGGACCTCCTGAAATGAATTATTGGCAGTACGAAACTACAAATGCTGGTAATCACACGAACCGGCCCATTTTCTCCGACCAATATTAATAGTCAATACTATTAAGTACTTATATTTAGTTTGACGATCGGACATAGTCTAGTCTCGCTATCTATCGGGAGTGGATAAGGACGACTCAATTCTTGGCGGAAAGCGATGACGACACATGCAGCAATCAAGGGGAACATCTGTATGAAGTCTGAGACAGCTAAGCCGCAGTCAATCAATTGGCAGATCAATCACAAGTCACAATTGCGGTGTAGCTCTCATAAACTGTCTATCCCAGTAATAGAGGGTTACTGTACGGAATATGTACGGAAATTTAGTCAATGCTGCGGTTGGGTACCAATCGTGTACTACGACAGATACAGAGATAACACACGCGCGCGCTAGTTCTATCGCCTCTCCGTGAGTCCTTTCCTGATGTTACCCCTTTGGGTAAACTCCCTCATGGCGCCCCACTTCCGTCGGGAACCGAACCCCAAGTGGCCTGAGTGCCTCAGGCTGTGGCAAAAGTGGGGTTGGAAACTCGTCTCCAACAAATCCACACTGTCAAGTAAAGTGTGTATACTGTATAGTCATTGCAGTCATACCATAACGGTCTCTGGAAGTGTTCTAGACTACCCACGGCCACCTGTGTTGAAACCTACGGCATAGCAACTGTTGCTCATCACCTGTATCATAATCACCTGACTACTCAATAAAGAACCATGGCCGACGCAGAGCTGGAAGAGGTGCGTATCTAAAATTTGTAGCGCTGCTATCTTGATCTTGCATGGCCGTATTAAAATATGACCAAAATTTGCGAACCAGCTATTGACTCTCAAAGTTAGATCAGGAGAGCCCGTCTGGCTCAGCTTCAGCAGCAGCAGGGAGGCGGACCACGAGGTGGTGCCGGTCAAGATGGCCAGGATGATCAGAGGAAGTAAGTTTTTTCGCGTCTTGAATTTCTCTTGTTGATCAAAAGAAGAAGAACAAGAAGAAGAAGAAGAAGAAGAAGATTCCCTTTGGATTTGAATAGTGCAAAAGATTGAATAGTGCTAATGGTTTACTTTACAGACAAGCAGAAGGTATGCTATCTCCTACGCACCTTCCACGACCCCGCAAAGAAGAGAGAGGGGCATGAAATCAGCAGTGGTAGCATCCACTTTTGCCCAAAAGTGATATCTAACAAAGTTCCTATCAGCCGAACGTCGCTCTGCAATCCTGAACCAAATTCTCGAACCCGAAGCTGCCGACCGCCTGGGCCGCATTCGCCTTGTGAAAGAGTCGCGCGCCGTCGACATTGAGAACCGGCTGATCATGCTGGCACAGACAGGTCAATTGCGGCAAAAGGTCTCGGAGGATCAACTCAAGCAGCTCCTCAATGCTGTGGCTGAGAACCAGCGCAAGGATGAGGAAGAGCATAAGGTTGTATTCAATCGGCGTAAAGGAGGCTGGGATGACGATGATGACTTGTTGGATCTGTGAAAAGTTGAATTGAAAAACAGCGAATGTCGTTAAAGCCTGTAAGGAACTTCTTACAGATCTCTTCTTGATACCTTCGTCCCTTATATTCATGAGCTATGAAACAGAAACAAACTGGTCCTAGGCGTTTGCGGTCGGTACATAGTGCAATTATTCGACAGCACTCTATTCCGTTATTATTCAACCACATCTTAACACCTGATGCTTAACTGGCAAAAAGGCTCGGCTTCTTTCCAGCATTTGTGATACCGAACAACCCGCTTGCAACAATAGTCTAACATGCGTTGAGATGAAGGGGAGGGTTCATGACTATATCGAATACACGGCTACCGGAAGCCATCTAATAAATAATATACACATTAACAACCTTACAAGGTCAAATCTACGCACCCTGCTGCAACCTCTCCTTCTCCCGCTTCTTCTGCTCCCTAATCATGCGCCTGATCTCCCTCATGTCTGGGGGCTTCTCAATAGCCAACTCACTCCGTAACTCATCCACATCCTTCTCTAAAATCTTCTCCCAATAAACATTAATCAACTCCTTACTCGCAAGCCCACTCCTGACTGCCCAAGGTAACCACAATGCAAAGAACCGCTCCCGCTCCGCAGGCTTCAACCTCACCGCAGCAAACATACTCAACCCTGTCATGGGAATAAGCGTATTTAAAAATTCAAACGCCTTCAGCGCTATCTCCCCCTCAACGAAGGTCGGCAGGCCCGTCACTGCGTGGTAGAAGTCGTGGCACTCCCGGTAGCGCTGCATGACGTATGCGCATTCCTCGTCATCTATGTATTGGACGTTATCGCGGGTATCGGGGGAGACACCTTCGCGGTCGAGCCAGGCAGCATAGGTCCGACCGACGGAGTTCTCGGGAAGAGAGCGGAGGTATGGTAGAGGGAGGGTTTCGGAGGTGATGCGCGGACGTTCGCGGAGGATCTGGCGGCCGGTGGGGTCCGAGAGCATGGCGTCACGGAGACGGTAGATGAAGTAGGGGGTTGCGGTTGCTTCGCCACAGGCTGCGATGAGATCTATATAGTTCCGGGGCATTGCTGTTAGCGTATGTTGTCTTGTAGTTTATCAATTTTGATATATGTTCGATGCAGATCATAAAATTGATTATGGATAATCCAAAGGGGGGGAGGGGGGAAAGAAAAGAAGCTCCTACCTGCTCTCCGGGGATTCAACAAAGCACCCACAGCAGACCCAACAGCCAGAGCACCACGCTCGACAAAGTTCAACGGGACATGGCCGGGATACTTTGGCGGCGGGCGATTGTTCACGAAGAAAGACCGCGTGCGGCAGCTTACTACTGTAACAGGTGTTGATAAGGTCAATTCGCGGAAATTCATGGCTCCGCGCCTCCCAAGGACCGACATTTTGAACCCAGAAGGTGGCATGCCTTTATGGACATGACCCTTTGAAAGAATGCGACAATGAAGGTTGTAGAGTGGTACGATGTCCGGGGAAGATCTCCGGTTGACGCTGTTGGTGCGTGTGAGACGCCGTACAACTGATAAAGATCGATAAGCATTTTATCGCCCAACCCTATAATGTTGCTTTTTATGGCCTCTTTCGACCACTAGATGAATATGAGTTCCCCGACCTTGTGATTTAGCAGACCAGTACAGGAGAGATATTTCAATAGCTGTTTCTGAATGAGATATTGATGTATTGACTCTATCTTTCTAGAACAAAGCCACTTTTGCTTCTTTTACGCTTTTTTCTTTTCTTTTTTCTTTCCCTGCTAGTTATACTTCCCCGCTAAGGACCCAATATTCCGCAGCAATGAAACCAGACTGGTGGCCTGGAGAGGAGCACGAGCAGTTCACAGAATGGGCCATTTCACAAGGAATCATTGCGAAAGGGGTCGGGCCTGCGCGGTTTCCAGGTCGCGGTTTGGGAATGATAGCCACGCGAAATATAGAAGTATGCAATTGCTTCTCAGCTATCAGTGTCACTATCATTCGCATCAGTGAATTCTAACCCTGACCTAGGAAGATGAACCCATTGTGACCGTACCATTGAAAGCAATGCTAACCTCTGAGCGTATCCCGTCTTCTTTCACCAGCAAATTTCCGGAGGGGACACCCACTCATGCACTATACGCTGCGTTTCTCACAAATGGCAATGCAGAAGACCTGGAAGAGTTCAAGGCGTGGAGAAACACCTGGCCTAGTCGCCAAGATTTTGAGGACAGTATGCCCATTTTGTGGTCAGAGTCTCTGCGGAACTACCTGCCACCCTCAATCTCGAGCCATTGGCACAGTATACAAAGCCGAGACAAGCTCCAGTACGAGACATCCCATCAGAATCTTCTTGCTCAGCAGGAACAAAGACTGCGCACGGCTTGGGATATCGTCGCACCCGTTTTCCCGGATACTGATTGGGAGGCATTTTCATACCACTGGCTTATAGTCAACACGAGAAGCTTTTTCTATTTGATGCCCGGCCAGGAGCCACCCGAGGATCGAAATGACGCTATGGCCCTGCTGCCGTTTGCTGATTATTTTAATCATTCTGATGTTGCAGTATGTGAATCCGATTCTACAAAGTCTTGTCTTCAACGCTGGCTTACCTTATTTGGGGTCATAGTGCAACGTAAAATTTGATGGCGAGAAATATGTTTTCCGAGCCACGAAACACTATGGTATGTACTGCAGTTGAACTGCTTCCTCTTGTCGGGGGCGCAAGGGACCTTCTGACCATTGCCACAGACGAAGGAGAAGAGATATACATGAGTTATGGACCTCATCCTAACGATTTCTTGTTCGCTGAATGTTTGTCACAACCATGTTCTTCTGCTCTCTGGCAGTGGGCTAACCACAGCAGATGGCTTTTATCTCGATGAGAATGAGTCGGAAACATTATACCTCGATGATATAATATTAAAGGACCTTAGCCCACCGCTACAAGAGGAACTAGAGTTCCAGCAGTACTACGGGTATGTTTACAAATTCCGGATGTCCTTTTTTTTTTTTTAAATGGTCACTTTTGCCATAGACAACTTCGTCGACGTCTAACCTATACGCTCAGTAACTACCAGTTAACGGCCACTGGCGTGTGCTACCGTACCGAGATTGCCGCGTGCATAAACTATATGCCCCTGGAAAACTGGCGGAACTATGTACTCGGTTATTCTACTAAAGGTGCCGACGAGAAGAAATTGGAGATTATCGTCCAAGGGTGGATAAGAGCGTATTTAAACGAAGCAGACACGATAATCACCACCCTAGAGAAAATCGAATCTAGCCAAGCGGACCAGAAAGATCAACAAAGGGCAAAGATGCTGAGGAAGCGATGGACACAGATTAGGGACCTCTGTGCTAAGGCCTCCGAAGCCGTATTTTGTTAAAACAATAGGATTCGTGAGGTAGAATTGCGCATGGTATCACAAAGTCGAATTCATTATATTGTACAGGTGCGAGAGCATGTTCACATTTTGGGCTCTTGGAGCAGATCAATCGGAATGGCACCCGACTCTACCTGCTTCGTTTGGAGGCGTTTGGCGAGAACCAGGTGCTTCATCATATAATTCACCACACACTTGATACCAAGTTCCTCGCCCCTACGTACGATGTAACCATTCAAGTATTCGATTTCCGTAGGTTTTCTCGCCAGCACATCCTGTAACATCGAACTATGGTTCTTGGCTGTCTTGTTGGCCAGCTGCACGACCATCATCCGCAGTCGCTCGGGAGAAAACCGGCTTTCAATTCCAGGAACACCTTGCAGTTCGGGCAAAGCGCAGATGACGCTTGATATCTCAATGAGGAGCAACCGCATGATACGCGTGAAGCTATAGTTGTAGAGGAGTTCTCCGTTCTTGCAGTTCATGATCGCTGTCAATGGGTTGATTACACAGTTTAATGCGAGCTTCTCAAGCTGGTATAGCATCAAGGCGGATGGGGTTTCAGCAACAGCAACAAGTGGTGGTGTGAGCGTCAGTGTGCGCAACAGGTATTTGGTGCTTGGGGTCCAATCGACATCCCCTTTATTTGCTGGGGACAAGGCATCTGCCGGTGGGACAGAACCCAGGATAGTTGTACCGACGCCTGTGTGGCTGACTTGGAATGGTTCTTTCCTTCGTGCTAACCCGTGGGAGATAACACCAGACATGTAATGTGGACGTTGTCGAGGGTCCCGGAAAACTTTCTCATTGAGCTCATCGATGATGCCCATTCCATTCTGGAGAAACAGGACCGTTGAATCAGGCGTCAGGCGGCGCTTGACAGAGTCCATCGCCGCCACAGTCACTGGTGCTTTGACAGCAACGATCAGACACTCAATACGCTCGTCGGCAGGTTGCGCTAAGAGTTCCTCATTACCGACATTTTCAGCATGCTCGTCAATGCTGTCGTTTCCATTCTCTGCTGTACCATCCTTATTCCAATACGGCACTGAGTACCACGCCTTATCATTCAGTACATTGACATCAAACCCCGTTTTTACATCATCCAGGCCATTAGTATTGATCGCTAGACATTTTTTCCTCTCTAACCAGGACCTATAAAGATTGGGAGTGTGCATCAGAAGAGTGATAGGAGGGGGAGATGGCCGGCTGGCAAGAGAGTGAGCGACGAATGTTCCAACGTTCCCAATGCCCAGGATATGTATGCGGCCCGAGAGCCGGCGGTTGCCGCTATCTCTCGACGCTTCCTCAGCGTCCTGGTGCCATGTTGCCAGAAAACGAACAGTGCAACCGCGCTGAGCATCGCCTGCTGCAGAAAGGCAGAATTGGGAAATGCCAGTCCGCAAACGCGGACGGCGTCGTAGTATGGACAACACTTTGGAAGAATTGCGTGATATGCAGACCAGAGTGGTCTTCGGGATGCTCAAAGCCTAAACAACTGTCACAGAATTGACTAGCTGTGCATTGCAAGGCAATACGTCCTCTATGTGTGACACAAAAACAATTTTTTAAAAAAAATAGTATAAGTAACTGGGCTACAGGACCCAAGTCGACAACGGCCGAGCTGCGCGATAAGATTAAGACTAGCTACTGACCGCCCTACACACCGCCTGTAGATAAAAAATTGATATTATCCAAGGAATCACTCCCAGAAGGCCGACAATCATCATTCAGAAGATGGACGCAACTAATTTATTGCCGCTGCTTGAGCAGCTGGACGATCATGTCGATGACCTGGAAGAAGCTCTGGGACCTGTCCTGAATAGTGCCATTACTGACACGTCAAAGAAACTTCCTGTGTTGGACAAGGCAAAGTTTCACGTTCTGATTACTTACGCTTTGGAATCTCTCATATTCTGTAGGGCAATATCGATCCTGACACTTACTCCTTGACATGCTAACGCATTCGCAGCTTATTTACGTCTCCATGGCGTCAATGCTAAAGAGCATCCTGTGTTCCGAGAACTGACTAGAGTGAAGCAATACTTTGAGAAAATTAAGGCGCTAGAAGCAGAGCCAGAGCAGCGGACATTGACACTTGACAAGCAGGCTGCAAGTCGTTTCATCAAGCATGGTCTTGTATGTGCTTTTTACTCTCTGATCATGTGTACCCTAGTGCTAACGCCGTCAGGCCGGAAATGACAAATTCGATATGGAGCGCAAAGAACAACAAGCGAAGGAGAAGGCGCGTGCCCAGTTGAAGGCATCTTTATTAGCCAAAAAGGCGGTAGCAGCAGCACCTGAGAGCTCATCGAAGAAATCTGCGGACGATTCCGCATCTGGATCAGACAGTGAGTCCGATAGCGGTGAAAAAGAGAAGGCAACAACACAGTCCGGAGATTCGGTAAAGAAGAGCAAAGAGAAGAAAGCAGACAAGACTGTCAAGCGTGAGTCTGCCAAGAACAAGAAGAAGCGCACCAAGGATGATCGCAAAGAGGAGAAGATGGAACGGAGAAAGAAGAAGCAAGAATCTCGGAAAGCAAGGAAGGCACAATGAACAACTTCAAACACTGCACTATATCGTCTGATAGGGCCGAAGAGGAATTCCTGTGTCTTAGGTATGATCGGCTGGTTCCGATCTTTGAGTTTGCATTGAAGTCTCGGTGAGCCTTCATTGTCGCAAAATGCGTACGTCCCAGCACTGCTGTGCATCTCCCCAGGGACATGGTAGAGGCGCTTCTATTAAATTCAACAGTGGCTTCCTCATCCCATCATACCACTTGGGGCAGTCTGTTGCGATATACGTATCTACATGAACGAACTACGTGGATACCCCAGACACCGCGCACACGAGTCGCAGGATGAACCCTGTCTCGTATAGCGAGTGATCTAACAATGGTCTATTGAGGATATGCCTGCACTGGCTTTTCCACGAGATAAGTCTCTAGGAAGACTACATAGTTGACTAAATAGATTAAGTGGCAAGTTGCATTGCTGAATTTCGTGAGCTACTTGCAATGCCGTAAGCTTGAATCATAGGAGCGACTCAGCCTCCAATCTGTGGGTCAGATTGAGAGATATAAACATGAGTCATACGCGACTATACCGAAGCCATGACTAACATACTACAAGTGTGAATATTCCTGTATGTTCCCTGTATATGAAGAGTCATCCAATGTAAAAAAATAGGTTCCTAAAGTCCGCCGGACTTTAGGCAATGGGAGGAGCGGCAGTATTGCGAATACCTTTCATATCCATATTCTCTGAACAAACACGGCTCGACCCGCATTACTGTTGGTAATACCAATACCGCACATGGTTTTCGCGGTCCCGGAGACCCCTGGGGATTGTCGGGCCAATCGGGAACGAGGAAATAGAGAATCTCTCGGACTTTTCGACGGCTTCTCCGCCGACTTTCGAGTCTCTTCTTTTATATAACCGTCCGTTTGCCATCAAAACAGCTTTCTATCCCCACCCATCAACATCATTTCATTTTCCAACTCCTAAAACCACATCTACATCAATCAACATGCCTCGTCAACGTCGTGGTGCCGCCCCTGCCCCTACCCCTGCGCGCAGCGCTCCTACCAGACCTACCGCCGCTCCCGCCAGACCGGCTGCTGCTCCCTCGGCCCAGCACTCCCAGCCTCACTCGACCGCTGCTCACCCTCAGTCGACTCCCCAGCAGGCTCATCCTCACCCTCCTCCCCAGGCTGCCCCTGTTCAGCAGAGCGCCGGACCCGGCCTGTTCGGTCAGATGGCCTCGACCGCTGCGTAAGTTCCCCTCGGACCTATCTTGAAAAACCGCCTTTAGCGGAAGAAAGTGAAAAACACAATACCACCAAGTAGTCCACAAGACTACCTTTTTTTTTTTTTTTTTTTTTCGAATAAAGAAAATATGCGAAAAGAATACTAACATCAACTAGTGGTGTCGCAGTCGGCTCCTCTATCGGCCATGCCATCGGTGGTCTCTTCAGCGGCGGTTCCAGCGCCCCCGCCGAGGCCCAGCAGGCAGCTCCCGCCCAGGCCCAGCCCATGGACACCGGTCTGTGGCAGAGCAATACCGCCAACAGCTCCTATGGCAATCCTGCCTGCGAGACGGACGTTCGCAACTTCCGCCAGTGCATGGACGAGAACCAGGGCAACCTCAGCATTTGCGGATGGTACCTGGACCAGCTTGTAGGCTCCCCCTTGGAATGCCGATATATGGTGGTTATTACGGTGCTAACTGGTCTTACAGAAAGCCTGCCAGGCCGCTGCTAAGCCCTACTAAAGTTAATGTATTATGTTTCGCGCTGGGGGATATACGAAGGACAGGAACTATGGGTTTGAACCGGTTCAGTTTGCAGACTTGATCCGGACGGTGCGACGATTGGATTGGATATGGACTGTGTTTGCATAGCGGCGTAATATTCCTCTACTGTATACCATTTCCGTCGGGGTTGACCTGATGATTTTTCTTTGTTTTACCTCATATATACTCACTTCCATCTGCTCAGAACATAGAGACAGATGAATATTTAAAGACAACTATTCCACTCTTCCATGGATTCAACTGTCCTAAACTTAAAGAATAGGCCTACATTGCGCGGAAAGCGAGCATAGCTATAGTCCAGTTTACAACTTAGTTTCCCTGTAATCTGAAAGCAAAAGGGGGACGCTTCCCATCCTAATATAATCCAAAGAATACCTACCACGCCATAGCCGTCGAAGCAACAGGTGAAATCAGCCAAAGTATCAATTAAGTAGGAACTGTAAACACCGTAGGCTTAATTTATATCAGCTAGCTATTACCACCCTGGTCACCTGCCGGTGTCTTGTCGGGGCTCGAAATTAAGCTATACAAGTCAGTGGATCCACCCATGTTATGGCTTTAGACCATGTGCGTTGTTTAAATTACGTACCTGGTTTCCATTGTAGAATTGGCTATCATCCTGTTCATTGCGTTGGTCTCTCAGTGTCCGGATTATAGGACCTCTCGGTGGAGATGGCCGTGACCTTGATGCGCCATCGCCAGACGGAGATGTGGAGGATGTGCTGGCTTGGGGGGCCGCAGACGGAGTCAAAGCTGGCTGACTATAGCCGAAGAAGGAGCCTACGAGACCCGTGGCGGTGCCAACTGCAGAGGAAACAAGCCCATATGCAGACGATACAGCCCGGGCCGGTAAGCTGGACCCAGTGGCCGAATAGGCTTCTGTATACGTATTGATCGGAACCATGACTAAATTCGCTGTGGAGCCTAGTCCAAGCTCTGCAAGCGTCTGTTCTTCGTCGGCGATAGTAAGTGTCCGATTCGGCAGGGGAGTCAGGATGTGTTTGAGATTATACGGGCGCTTTTCATCCCCAGGCTGACTGTCAATCCACGGGCGAACATCTCCGCGGATGGTTTGCGAAGGTGAAAAGCTGGACCGGATGGAACTTCCATCGAATAGACGGACTTGAAGCCGATATTGTTTGGGCGGTGTTGGGGTTTGTGGCTTGCGCTCCTTTGCAGGCGTGTCGGTGCTTTCGACAGATGCAGTGTTTTTCGTGGCTTTTGTTTCTGACTCCTGCTTTTTCGTGCTATCTTTGGGCTTGGCTATTCCTTGTGGTTTCGGCGTTTCTTGCTTCTTTGGCTGGGGTTTCGGTGCCTGGCTGGGTGTTTCAACTCTGTACGTCCTCCCGCCGGCACGTAGACTATTATATTCCTGTTGACCTGGTTGCCTTAGTGGTCTACTTCCTTGTGACTCAGTTGAAGCTGGCGCTGGCGCCGGCACAGCAGCGACAGGAGCTGGTGAAGGCTCAGGCTGTGATGCAGTCGCAGGCGCTGTGTGTAAATTGGTGGATGGGCTCGCAGTATGAATCTGGGTGTCCTGAGCCGGTGAGTTCAGACTGGGCTGCGTGGTCGGGTTACTGTCCTCTAGAACAGCCTTCAGCCGACTATGAAAGTCATCCTTCGAGATATCCGGCACAAGATATTCCCGCAGCATTCCATTCCTATACAACACTCAATCAGAAGCCCAATAACCCTAATGCCTGAGAAGGTCATCACACATACTTGATCACTACAACAGCAGGGAACTTCGTTACGGGGCAAAAGGACGTCAAGAATGTAGCTTCTTGAGAATCCTTGGTGAGTCGCAACAGGACAGATCTCGTTTCGAGTAATTGCGCGAACTATGTCCCACCAGCGATTAGCGATCACGTACGAAGGAAAACTAGAAGTCGAACTGAGGCGAACACAAACATCTTTGTCAGCGAAATAATCCTCTTCCCAGAGGTTACTTGTTTGATCATTATCTGTTGAAATACATCCAGCCGGTTAGCAAGTGGATAACGGTGGAGCTCATCTGATGTATGTATCGATGTATGCGTTCGTAGGAATCACAGCAGACACACCTCGAACAAAGCATATTACCGCTTTAGCTTGCGAGACTGCTAAAGCGATGCCTTCCTGCAGAGTTCCAGAAAAGAACATTGTAACCTAGCGCGGTTTAAAACCAATGTATGGAGAAGTATAAATGGAGCGTAAGTAAAGCGATAAATAGCTTTAACTCCGTCGGGGAAAAGAAGGCCGTTGCCGATCACGAGCCCCTCGGAACTCACTTCGACTTCAGTTGGAGGGCTTTGAATTGTTTCTTTTTCTTACACGCTTTCCGCCGCCCAGACTAAAACAGCAATTGGCTTTTGTGATAAGGGCAAGTGAAGCCCCTCGTCCCAATTGACCATGCGGTCGATCTTTTCGGTCCTGCAACGGACCGCAGCAACCTCATGGCAGCCGCCAATCGCCGCGTCGATTCGGGGTCCCCGGATGGCCTTCAAGCTGGATTCGATTTGCGCCAGGTGTCGCCGTCAACAAATTCGGTTTTATAGCAAGCAGCTGGCGGATGATCCGCGATGGTTGTCGGTTGTGGATCATCCTGCGCAAATTGTTCGTACTGGTCGTAAACACGGGCCGGGTTTGATTATCTTAGGTATGGTAGAGCCATTGATCATACTTGCAAATAAGTAGCTGCCGGTAAAGGCCGGCGGTACACTAATGAAATGTATTCTCATTACAGCTCTAATTCCTATCATCTCATTCGCGCTCGGCACCTGGCAAATCCAGCGTCTCGATTGGAAGACCAAGCTGATCGCAAAATATGAAGACCGACTCGTCAAACCTCCTCTTCCGCTACCCCCACAGATCGATCCGGATGCCATTTCCGAATTTGATTATCGGCGGGTTTACACTACGGGACGTTTCCGACATGACCAAGAGATGCTCGTTGGTCCTCGCATGCGCGAGGGTGAGGATGGTTTCATAGTTGTAACGCCGCTTGAGAGAGGGGAGGGAGAGAGCACTGTCCTGGTGAACAGAGGCTGGATCTCGAAGAAGATGAAGGATCAGAAGGACAGAGCCGAGGGTCTCCCCCAAGGAGAGGTCACAGTCGAAGGCTTGTTACGGGAACCTTGGAAGAAAAACATGTTTACACCGGAGAATAAGCCCGAGGATGGAAAATTCTACTTCCCTGACGTTGAACAGATGGCTGAGCTTACTGGTAGTCAGCCGGTATGGATTGAAGAGACTATGAGTGAGCCAGCCTCTAACCCGAAGATTGACATGACCCATGACCGAAATTAACTTCTTTAGTTGCGGACATGGTCGAATGGTATAACAGAAGTGGCAAGGGTATTCCTATTGCTCGCGCTGCCGAAGTGAACTTGCGAAACAACCACAGCCAGTACATCTTCACATGGTAGGTTTCCTATGAATGACCCAATATCCGGCTAGCGAAAACTCCGGCTTACCCTAAGCAGGTACGGGCTGTGCTTCGCAACTTCAATCATGCTGTGGATGGTTGTACGTAAACGGCCCAATGAGGCGACTCGTCGTGTTCGTCAAAATGTGAATTGGTGATATCCGTTGACATCTCTCGTATTTGAGACTATCGTTGGCGTTCAGTTTGTTTGTTACAGAATCCGTACCATGTATATTATTCACGGAGGCATGGACAATCTCATGTCTTGCAGCAGTTCCTTCGGTAGATGCTTCGATGCCAGAGAGAAAACAGTCGTAGAATCGTTAATATGGCGTTGTCTAGAAAGTTAACGGATTAGCATAACTAGAGCGGAATGGTTTGTCTCAGCTCACCGTCTCATCAACGTAATAACATCACTCTCGTCAATCGTCTTCCGTCCCGCATGTTTAGAATACGCCGCCAGATCTTCAGCGACCTGCTCAAAATACCACGATGACGCTTGTTCAATAGCAGCTAGGGTGGCCTTGCTGATCTTAGCTTTAGAGCCAGCCCTCGCTGGCGCAAATCGAGTAGCCAGCTTTCGAATTACCCCTGACGGCATGTTGGGAACAGGGATACCGTGTCGGGAGAGCTTCTTTTGCTTTCCTTGCACTATGACAGTGTCTTGGTCACGCAATCCTCCTCCGACAATACCGGGGCTTTCGCTTAGCGAGACGCGAGACGGCATGTGGAGATCCAAGCCGAATTCACCAGCTGTGACAGCGGCATCGTCACTGTCGTCAGACATAGGGGCTGTGTCCTGTGCCAAGTCAACGGGCGGAAGCTCGAACCCTTCATCATCGTTGAGAGGCCCGTCCATGCCGTCGGCCGGAGGTGGAGGCGGGGACGGAAAGTTGAAGTCAAAATTGAACCTCCCAAGGTCTTCCGTCTCTCCTCTGTGTCTATATTAGCCGGAGTGATCCAAATCTGTCGGGAGAATACCACTCACCCTCTATCAAAAGCACCTTGACTCATGACAGTTTCGTCTTGGTTCTCTCTGTCTTCGCCATGCTCGATACCAGTGTCATCACCATCCTCAGAGTCGCTTTCCAACCGGGTCGCATCACCGAAGTTCTCGCTCAGCCTAGGGTTACCGAAGCTCATCATAGATAATCTTGCTCTATCGTGTTCGCTCGTAGCCCGTCGCGGGTATTCGACAGTGATATCCTCTTCTTCAAACGCCAAGGAGAGCCTGGGTGGACGTGGCTCTGGACTCGCTTCCTCCTGTTCCTCTACATCTTCTAGAGGCAAGGACAGTCGGGGGCGCTCAATCTCCGGTTCGTTGTCGAGCTCTTCGATCTCATCCTTCTCTGGTTCCAGCTCTGGTTCCTGTTTTTCTTCTTGCGGTGATGAACGTATAGGTTGTGACACGGGCGCAAGAGCTGACACCTGGATTTTAGTATGCATCTGATGTATTCATAGCATGCAAATCGCACGCATATGATATAAGCTCATCTGGCACACATACCTCTACCGAGATTCCGTAGAATATCAAATGTCGTCTCCCTCTGCATCCGTCCACTTTTCCTACGATCACGCGCCGGTGTATTTGCCGCTCGGCGCTGTATCGCCCGTAATCCATATGGTGTTGATGGGGCCGCTGTAGCTCTGTTGCGTGGTGTTCGTCGCGACGGTGTTCCTGACACTGCTAACCGGCTGGGGGTGAGAGGGTATCTGGTATGAATGGGAAGACGCTGAAGCTGCAGTCACACTCTAATTAGTCAACATTACTTTAATCACGGTGGGATGCAGTGTACTCACCCCTGTAAGTGTGGTATCTCCTACAGGAGTGAATGTTTCGGACATGTCGGACCCTCGCGATGACCGGCGGCCACGCGGCTTAGGGGTCGTCGACATGTGTGCTGATAAGGGGGCTTTATAGAACAATTGCTTCCTAAATTGTTCTGACAAAGGGTTGCACAGAATTAGACATGTCACTGAGAAAGCCTGAAGATGATTAGGCTTCGGCGCATGTCCCAAATTCGCAAGAGGGGTTGTTGTTGTTCAGTGGAAAGCGCGTGTCGATGACATGGAGGACTTGCAGTATCATTGGCCGTGGCTTATCGATAAGCCGGCTGACTCAGCATAAAAAAGTTGCTTGCGGATCAAGTCTTATGATAATTGAATTCGAACCATTCTTTTTTTTTTCTTTTTATTCTATATATATCTCTATCTTAGGAGATCTATAGAGATACTACGTCATAATGTCTGCGGAAGCTGCCAAGTCATCCGGCCTCTCGGCCAAGATTGACAACAAGCGCAAGAGACAAGCTGAGGAATCCTCAAAACAAGCCGGGGCGGCTGCTGGCAATGCAGAGGGCCCGAGTAACAAGAAAAGGAAGAACGGCAAATCCAAGCCAAAGAAGGGCGGAAAGGACAAGAAGGATAAGCCCCAGCAAGATGCATCAGAGAAGGAGCAGAGAGACACCAAGCAAACCGAGACCAAAGGTGGCATTGATGAAGCTATTGGCAAGATGGACGGTCGCCTGTTGGCGGATCACTTCATGCAGAAGGCTAAGCGCCACAATAAGGAGCTGACTGCGGTTGAATTGAGTGATCTTAGTGTTCCGGGTATGTTATTGTCCAACTCAGGGATATGTGTCAGTACTAACGATCCAAGAATCCTCATTCCTCGACACATCATCGTTTGACTCGCCCAGACAACTGGAGAAGCTACCGGATTTTCTAAAGGCTTTCAGCCCTAAAGGATCTGACCTCTCGAAACCGTCAGAGGAGAAGGGCACGCCGCACACCCTGGTAGTCTGCGCATCGGGGCTTCGAGCAGCCGATGCGGTGAGGTGAGCTAAGGCCGATTAACGCTGTTCATGCTGGGTATTAACCATTCCGCTGTAGAGCCCTCCGTACGTTCCAAACCAAAGAATCGCCAATTGGCAAGCTGTTTGCAAAACATATCAAGCTCGAAGAAGCTAAGCAATTCTTGGAGCGATCACGGTATGTTTTGCACCCGTTTAAGTTCCTTGTAATTAAACTGACTTTCCTTGAGCATTGCCATTGGAGGCGGAACACCTGCTCGTATCTCCGACCTGATCGATGCTGGTATGGTTATCTCACATTCAAGTGCGTAAAACAGGCTAAACATGAGCTGACTTCTACAGGTTCCCTCAAACTTGGTGAACTACAGCGTATCGTGATCGATGGATCCTATGTTGATCAGAAGCAGCGTGGTATATTTGACATGAAGGAAACCCACCTCCCACTTTTGAAATTGCTCACGCGGTCCGAGTTTCGTGAACGTTATGGTGCAGAGGAGAAGCGGATCCAGATCCTCATCTTTTAGCTTCTTACAATGATGTATAATGTGGTTGGCGTTAATCAAGGCTGGATGTTAAATATCTTGTTGTCTGTTCTTATTCTGGGTAGTGATACCCTACATACATATGTTTGCATCATACGAATGTTTTTTTTTATACTGATAAATACCGTACCTGATCACCTGACGCCCGCCTCCACCTGACGCCCGATTTCCTATGAAAACCAGAGTTAAAGATGAAGCTCTACAACCACATATATTG